AGACACCTGTCCCCAACAGTCAGTTTTTAATTTCATGTTCCACAAACTTTCCTAAGTACCTGTGGCATTTGTCAACGGAAGCGCCCTCTGCTGGCCGCACAGTGACATGCAGCTCAGGCCCGGGAGGCGGCGCCGCATCCTGAAGACCGGCGGCGCCCCCTGCTGGCTTGCTGGTTCGCGCCGGCACACAGCTGTGCAGAGGCCCGCAGTGAAGCAGAGGGGTCCGCTGTCTGCCCTTCCTTGTCGCTCACCCAGAAGCAGAAACCTACTATTGTTTTTCAAGAAACCTCTATTGTTTTTAATTATTAAAAATATGACAACATCGGGCCCGGCGCGGTGGCCTAGCAGCTAAAGTCCTCGCCTTGAATGCGCCGGGATCCCAAAAGGACGCTGCTTCTAATCCCGGCCGCTCCACTTCCCATCCAGCTCCCTGCTTGTGGCCTGAGAAAACAGTCGAGGATGGCCCAAAGCTTTGGGACCCTGCATCCGTGTGGGAGACCTGGAGGAAGTTCCTGACTCCTTGCTCCGGATTGGCACAGCACCCACCATTGCGCTAACTTGGGGAGTGAATCATAGGATGGAAGATCTTCCTCTCTGTCTCTCCTTCTCTCTGTATATCTGACTTTCCAATAAAAATAAATCTTTTAAAAAATATGACAACATCAAGCAACAGTGAAATGTGTTTAAACTGTTATGAAACACTTCTCTCCTGGTCCATAGCGCCGTTTCCTCTATAACAATTCGGTGAGTTCTCCAACAGTAGAGTGCCAAGTTTCCCTGGCCAGATTGTCTCTCCTCCTCTCTCTAGGCCTGATATTCCCATCATGGGTGTCTTTTGCATGGTGCCAGGCTCTGGTCTGGTATTGAGCCAGCATTTCTTTACGGATTGTTCTGTCCGCCTAATCTGAAGGCGCACCCTGAGGCTGGTGTGTGGTACCAGCCTCCCATGTTGGAGCTCCAGCTGCTCCACTTCTGACCCAGCTCCCTGCAGTGGCCTGAGAACGCACCAGAGGATGGCTCAAGTCCTTAGGCCCCTGAACCTGCGTGGGAGCACCAGGCTTTCATCCGGGCAAGTCCCAGAGATGCTGACAAATGAGAACAAACCAGCAGATGAAAGATCTATCTCTCCCTCTCTCTGTAACTCCGCCTTTCAAACAAGTAGATCTTTAAAATATTTATCTGGTTTTAGTTAGGAGGAAGTTCTCTCTTCTTAAAGACTGATTTATTTATTTGTTTTAAACATCTATTTTTATTGGAAAGGCAGGTCAGATTTATAAAAAGGAGACAGAGAGAAAGCTTCCATCCACTGATTCACTCCCCAGATGACCATAAAGGCCCGATCTGAGCTGACCCAAAGTCAGGAGCCAGGAGCATCTTCGGGGTCTCCCACCCATGTGCAGGGTCATGGAAGATTTGAGCCATCCTCCCCTGCTTTCCAAGACCACAAGCAGGGAGCAGGAAAGGATGTGGAGCAGCTGGGACAAGAACCAGCACTTGAAAGGTGAGGATGTAACCATTGAGCTATCACACCAGGGACCAAGATTTATTTATTTTTTTGTTTGAAGTGCAGATTTACAGAGAGGAGAGACAAAGATCTTAAATCTGCTAGTCCACTCCCCAAATAGCTGCAACAGCCAGAGCTAAACCAATCTGGAGCTCAGTCAATCCAAAGCTGGGAATTATTCCCAGGTTTCCCATGTGACTACAAGTGTCCAAGAACTTAGGCCATCTTCTGCTACTTTCCCAGGTCATAAGCAGAGAACTGCATTCGAAGTGGAGCAGCTGGGACACCAACTGGCATCCATATGAGATACTGGTTCTATAGGCAGCCTATTTTGCTATGCCACAATGTTGGCCCCTATATATATATATATATATATATCTTCCCTTAATTCACAAAGATGGCTGACAGGAGTGGGAGACAAAGTCGATGCTTCAGATGCCTGCACCCATTATCAGAGTGCTTGGAGTCTTGGCTACTCTGCTTCCTGTTCCGCTTCCTCCGACCTGCACATCTTGGAGGATACAGTGATGGCTCAAGTATTTGAGTAGCTACCCCACACATGGGAGTCCTGGATAGCATTCTAGGCCCCCGACTGCTTAGCCACACACTGGTTAACACAGGCATTTTGGGAACTTTCTACATCTATCTTCCAAAAACTTTTTTTTTTAAATTGGAAAGGCAGATTTACAGAGAGATAAAGATCTTCTGTCCACTGGTTCACTCCCCAAGTGGCCTCAATGGCTGGAGATGAGCCGATCTGAAGCCAGGAGCCAGGAGCTTCTTCCTGGTCTCCCAGATGAATACAGGGTCCTAAGTCCTAAGGCTTTCCCAGGCCACAAGCAGGGAGCTAGAAGGGAAGTGTAGCAGCTGGGACACAAACCGACACCCATATGGGATCCCAGTGAAAGCAAGGCAAGGATTTAGGCATTAGAGTATCATGCCAGGCCCTCAATAAACTTTTTTTTTTTAAAAGATTTATTTGTTCTTATTGCAAAGTCAGATATACATGGGAGGAGAGACAGAAAGATCTTCCATTTGTTGATTCACTCCCCAAGTGGCCACAATGGGCAGAGCTACGCCAATCTGAAGCCAGGAGCTCGGAGCCTCTTCCTGGTCCCCCTTGCAGGTGCAGGGTCCCAAGGCTTTGTGTCATCCTTGGCTGCTTTCCCAGGCCACAAGCAGGGAGCTGGATGGGAAGTGGGAATGGCAGGATTAAAACTGGTGGCCAGGGCCCGGCGTGGTGGCGCAAGTGGTTAAGGTCCTCGCCTAGCACGCCCAGGATCCCATATGGGCTCCGGTTCTAATCCCAGCAGCCCCGCTTCCCTTCCAGCTCCCTGCTTGTGGCCTGGGAAAGCAGTCGTGGACGGCCCAAAGCCTTGGGACCCTGCACCCGCGTGGGAGACCCGGAAGAGGCTCCTGGCTTCGGATCGGCATAGCATCCACTGTTGCGCTCACTTGGGGAGTGAATCATTGGACGGAAGATCTTCCTCTCTGTCTCTCCTCTCTGTATATCCGCCTTTCCAATAAAAACATAATAAAAATAAATCTTAAAAAAAAAAAAAACTGGTGCCCATATGGGATCCTGGTGACAACCTTTAAGCTATCGCACTGGGCTCCCAAATAAATTTCTGTAAAAATTTAAAAAAAAAAAAAATAGGGCCTGGTGTGGTAGCCTAATGGTTAAAGTCCTTACCATGCCTGCACCGGAATCCCATATGGGCGCCAGTTCTAATCCCAGCAGCCCCGCTTCTCATCCAGCTCCCTGCTTGTTGTGGTCTGGGAAAACAGTTGAGGATGGTCCAAATCTTTGGGATCCTGTACCTGCGTGGGAGACCCAGAAGTCCTGGCTCTGGGCTTCCAGCTGTTGTGGCCACTTGGGGAATCAACAGACGGCTCTTCCTCTCTGTATCTCCTCCTCTCTGTATATCTGACTTTCCAATGGGGAAAAAAAAAATCTTTTTTAAAAATTGAAAAAGGGCTGATAGAAATTGGAGCCAGTGGGTTAAGCCATCATCTGCAACCCTGGCATCCCATATGAATGAGTGTTGGCTGAGTCTGTCACTCCATTTCTGATCCAGCTCCCTGCTAATGTGCCTGGGCAAGCAGAGGAAAATGGCCTAAGTTCTGGCCTAAGTCTCTCTAAGGCAGGAGACCCAGACACAGCCCCAGCTCCTGGCTTCAGCCTGACTCAGCTCCAGTTGTTGAGGCATTTAGCAATTTGAACATCTTTTTTTTCCTTTCTCTAACTCTGCCTTTCAAATAAGGTGTAGCAATTAAAACAAGTCATGTCCCATGCAGTGACTCAATTGGTTAATCCTTCTTCACAAGTGCTGGAATGGGGTACCAAGTAGTACCCCAGCTGCTCTACTTGCCATCCAGCTCCTTGCTTGTGGCCTGGGAAAGCAGTGGAGAATGATCTAAAGCCTTAGGACCCTGCACCTGCGTGGGAGACCTGGAGGGCACTGCTGGCTTTGGCTCAGCTCAGCTTAAGTCCTTGTGGCCATCTGGGGAGTGAACCAGTAGATAAAAAAAATCTTTGTCTCTCCTCCCTGTAAATCTGCCTTCCAATAAAAATAAAATATAGATCACCATTTTCTTAAAAAAAAAAAAAAAAAAAGTCCTTGTTTTAGGAGTTTTGGCCTCTTTGAGAATGTAAAAAGCAAACCCTATCTACGAGAACATGCATGTTCAGTTTTCAGGGTTCCTGGGCCCCTGCAGTGCCTGCTGTTCCCTGGGGGAGCCTCCTGATGTCCCCAGCTCCTGACCCTGCATAGCCCATGATAAAGAACACTCCCCCACAGGCACTGGGTTCCAATCAGGCCTAGGGTGTGGCCATGGTCAGCTGATGTCTGTCTGCAGAAGCCCCACTTTCATCTGTCCCACAGATGTGCTGCCCACTCCCCGATAATGCCTGGGCCTCTATAGCAAGGCCTCTGAGAAGGGACAGACATTTCCCCCTAAGGGGCTGCCACAAGGATGTAGACTGGAGAGCAACAAGCTGTATCTCAGAACCAGGGGAACAAGTGTAATTACTCAGCAACTTCTGGGAAGACGTATCTCCTCGCTGCCCAGCCAACTTCCACTGCTCATAAGAAACAAATCACCTAGGAGCTGGCATGATGCTTATAGCTAATTCTCCAGCTACAATCACCGGCATTCCGTGCAGGTGCCAGCTTGTGCCCCAGAGGATCCACTTCCCATCCAGTTCCTGTTTATGGCTGGGAAAGCAGTAGAGGATGGTCCAAAGCCTTGGGACCCTGCACCGGCGTGGCAGACCAGGAAGAAGTTCCCGGCTAACGGTTTCAGATCAATTCAGCTCCAGCTGTTGCGGCCATTTAGGGAATGAACCAGTAGATGGAACATCTTTCTGTCTCTCCTCTCTGTAAATCTTCCTTTCTAGTAAAAATAAATATTTAAGAAAAATAATAATTAACAAATTCAAGTGTTTATTATAAACAACTGCTACACACTTCCAGTGCCTCCCAGTCCATCCCTGAGGATGACCATAACAGTCCTTGGTGTTGCAGGAAGATGGTCAGGAGAGAACTGCATGCCTGGTTCTTAATGCCTTGGCTGGTGGCAACGAGAAGCCCTTGTAGGGATGTGGCAGGGAACTGAATGTGAGAACGGGTTTAATCGTGGTCTAGCATGGCTAAGGAGATAAACGTGATTAGAGCTCCCTATACGAGGACACACACACCCAGGATCCCTTCAAAGAACCCAGATAACTCAGGATCTCCCACAAAACGTAGTCTATTGCCAAAGGGAAGCACTTAGAGTTCGAAGGCTGATGCCAGCCTGGAGCGGGGCTGGAGGTGGGGGACAGCACCCTGCTCTCAGAACCACTCCTAAAGGTACCCATTAGCAAGAGCTGCCCACCAGGGGACCTGCCCTAGCACAGCTCCAGGGCCCAGGATGGACACGGTCACACTCCACAGCCTTCACGCTGTGAGGTCCTCTGGCTCCTTAGCCATGTCTTGAAGCTTTTCCATGACACCTTCGGAGGGAAGCTCTGGAGCTGGCGGCGGCTCGCCAGGGGCTTCAGCCAGCATATAGTAGACAATCTCTTGCTGGTCCTGGGACTTGGTCTGATTCACCAGGTGCATGGCAGGGCTGGTGCTGTCCTGAGGGGCTAAGGGCACTGTCCCCTCACCAGCCCTGCCCACCTCTTCCTCGTCCTTGGAGCCCGGCTCCCCTGGCACTGTTTCTAGAATGAGGTCCTGCAGGCTGCTCTCATTTAGGGCTGAGTCCACCAGGTCTGCTCCTTCTTGCGGCTGCTGCAGCAGCTGCTGCGTCAGCTCTACGCTCTCATAGCGAACCAGCTGCAGCCGCATGTAGCCATCTTCGTGTTCCTTGTACCTGGGAAGGAGCAGAAAGGTAGTAAATGTGGGCAGGGATGCGTACTGGCTCATAGACAGACACAAGGTAAGGAATAGGCTATGGAAGAAATCTTGGGAATCTATGCAGAAAAAAAGTGAAAAAATGGCTACGTGAAAGGAAAACTTTGTCGTAACAACACAGAGAAACACACACACACTCACACAGAGACTGATGGATTGTGAGCGAGGGCAGGAGTGTATGAGGGCTCATGAGGAGCCTATAGTCCAGGTTCTGACTCTAGTCCTGGCTGTGGGACTTTCAAAACCATTTATTTGGTTTTCAGCCATACCCTGGATTGAAAACTCACAAAAATAATCTTTGCCCCACTGATATTCTCTGGGGGTTCTCACAGCCAAATGGAGATGACAGGCATTCACGCATAAACAAATTCAAAAGTTTTAACTTTGGTTAGAAATAAAAAGGCACGGGGGCCCAGTGCTATGGATCAGTGCCTAAATCCTCGCCTTTCAAGTTCTGGGATCCGGTGTGGGCACTTGTTCACGTCCCAGCTGCTCCACTTCCCATCCAGCTCCCTGCTCGTGGCATGGGAGCAGTTGAGGATGGCTCAAAGCCTTGGAAGCGAGTAGGAGACCCAGGAGGAAGCTCCTGGGTCCTGATTGGCTTTGGTCTGGCTCAGCTACAACCATTGCAGCCACTCAGGAAGTGAATTAGAGAACAGATTTTTCTGTCTCTGTAAATCTGCCTTTCCAATAAAAATAAATACATCTTATTAAAAACAAACAAACATGTGTGTTAACCTGTAGGGAGGGCTTAGACCTACCGGAAACGGGGGTGCCCTGAGGGCCACTTGAACTGATGCTTCTGCCGAAGGTGCACGGTGAGGCTATTGCCCCGCGTGAAGCACTTTTCACACACATGACATTTGTACCTTGGTTCCGAATCCCCCTGACAGAGGGAAAAGTGGATAAGTGAAGCCACTCTTCACCCACTCAAGGCTCCCTCACACTTCTACTAGCCCCTCTCCCCTTTCCCAGCCCCACACCACTCACTTCATGCACTTTGCGGTAATGGGACTTCACGGAGCAGAGGGATCGGGCACTGAAAGTGCAGCTCTCAAAGTCACACCTGTAGGCTGGCTCCTTGCTGTGGGTTTCCAGGTGCTTTCGGAGGTCAATGAGGTTCTTGCAGCTGCCGGGAGAGGGCAGGAGGGGCTGGAGCAGATGGGGGACCCTGGGACACCAATTCTTGCTTCCTGGGGCCCTGGACCCCCCTCACCTGTAGTCACAACAGTCACATTTAAAGGGACGGTCCTCACTGTGGCGGAAGCGCATGTGATTGCGGAGGGAGGAAGGCAGCGGGCACGTCATGTCACACAGGGGGCACTTGTAGTGATTGACTGGGAGGAGCAGAGAGGAGGCTGTGATGGGAAGATCTGCCATACCTCGCAGGGTGGATGCAGAGGCCAGGGGTGAGGATCACTCACCATGGTTGCGCATGTGGTCCCGCAGCAGCCGCTCCGTGGCAAACCTCTTGGAGCAGTGAGAGCACTGGAAGCGCTGCTCTGGGGTGGGGCAGGTGAAAGAAAGGGATGCTGAGGGGGCTGCGGACAGCAGAGGGCCAGGCACGAGAGGGAACCACCCCCAGGAGAAGGGATCCTCCCCGGGAGAACAGGGGAGCACAGGGGACTGTGGATGGACGTAGCAGCATGAAAAAAGCACGGGACTTGGAACAAGAACCTGATTCCCCCCACTTACTAGCTGGGTGATCTCAGGTAAGTGACTTAACCTCTCTGAGCCTCAGTTTCCTCATCTGTAAAAAGGGGGACAAGACGCCTACCTCATGGGGCTGTTGTGAGGATTCCCTGAGATAAGTAACAGGGCACACAGCAAGTACCGGGGGCCAGCGTCCATGAGCGCACCAGCACAAAGGCTGGGGGAGTGTCTGAGCCCAGAAGCGAGAGGGAGTCAAGTTGCAGATGTCTTCAGGGGCTACTTCCCCTGGAAACACGCTCCCGACCCCACCCCCAAGCAGGACAACCTGTTCCCATCCCTGCTCTCTGACTGCTTACGATCCAGAGAGGTCTGGCGGCGGATGTGATCCAAGAACTTGGTGTTGTTGGCAAACATGCCCCCGCAGGTGGGGCAGGCCACCACCTTCTCCTGGGTGTGGCTGCGGAGGTGCTCTCGAAGCTTACAGCGGTCCTTGAAGGTACAGGAACAGCCTAGGAAGGAAGGCCCGGCTAGGTGCCAGTCACCAACTCCCCAGCTGACAGCTATGCTTTATCCCCTCCTCAGCTGCCAAGCCCCCTTAGCCCACCCCTGGGTTCCTTCCAGAATCCAGAAGTTAAACAGAGGCCCTACCTTTCCAGCCACACAGCACCACATGGTTGTCCTTGCCAACTGCTTTGTATTCATAGCACAGGCTGTGTGCTTCCACATGCCGATAGAACCACTCGGGGTTGTCGAAGGTGCTCTGTGCCAGGGGCAACATGAGGTGAGAACCGAGGTGCTGGAGGGACCCTTACCACTATGAGCCTGAAACACGCTCCCTGACTGTGTCCCCAATTCACTGGGTAGGGATGGCAAAGTCTGAGCAAGGGAGCTGTACTGAACTAGGAGAGGGGCCAGCAGCAATGCTGGCAAGAGAAGCACCCCAGCAGGTAGGGAGCCCAGCCCACTGACCTCGCAGTACTCCCACAGGCACAGGAAGTGGTCGGGGATGTCGGGGATGATGTTGCGGCTCTGGAAGTCCAGCACACAGGGGCTGAGGTCCGCCTGGCTCTGCAGAGCCTGCAGCCCCCACTGCTTGAGCTTGGTGTGGTAGCAGTGGAAGTAGACATGACGGATGAGGTCGGCAGAGCTGTCCAGAGAGCAAAAGCCACACTCCTGCCATAGGCAGGAGAATTCTTCCCCTGCAATGAGTTAAGAGAAAAAAGAGGCTGACACCTTCCCAGGATTGGCAGTGCTTGGCAGAGAATGAGGCCCAGCTAATTAAACCATCAGGCGCCTCCTGCGGCAGCTACCAGGGCTTGCTCACCATCTCCTAGGCACAAGGCACCAAGGTGTGGTCAGTGTGAATGGGTGCCAGTCCCTGCCCTCACCCTGCTTCCAGTCAGGGAGAAAGAACATCGTTAGCCCAATCACCACATCCGTCAACAGAAAACTGAAACTGGTGCTAAGTGCTGTGTGGGTAGAGGCCTGAGGCACGGTTACAATATCAAAGCAGAGGCCATCTGATGCAGGCAGGGGATCTTGCCAAGTGTCCTCACACTGAACTCTGAAGGATGCATCTCTCAAATATGTGAGGGGGCAGTGTGGTATGGGCAGAGGGAAGCAGATGTTCAAGGCCCACACCGAGATAGCTGGTGTGGCTGGCAGGCTCAGCCTGGATGGCTTGCAGTGTCACTGCTCCCTGAGGAAGATGAAGTCTCCCAACTTCAGGCACCCCCTCCAACCCCTACTTCCTCTTTAACCACCAGCCCACCTCTCCCTCATTTCTGCTCAAGAGCTGCTTTCTCCAGGAAGGCCCCAACAATGAGACCAATGCATTCCCAATCTCTCTAGCACTTCTGTGCACACACTATTTTTTTTTTAAGTGTTCTTTTATTTACTTAAAAGGCAAAGTTATATGCGGAGAGGAAGAGAAGTTTTCTATCTGTTGGTTCACTCCCCAAACGACTGCAACAGCCAGGGCCGGGCCTAGCTGAAGCCGGGAGCTTCTTCCAGGTCTCCCACGTGGGTGCAGGGACCCAAGTACTCAAGCCATCCTCCCCTGCTTTCCCAGGTGCATTAGCAGGGAGCCAGATGAGAAGTGGAACAACTGGTACTTGAACTGGTACCCAAATGGGATGCTGGCACTGCAGGCAATCACTGAGCCTACTATGCCACAGCACTGACCCTCAACAACCTATTTTCAATGCTCTATAGAATTCTGTCTATGGATATTCTAGAAAATATGACCACTTTCTAATTTCTTTACTATTTAAAAAAATAACAGAATTGTGGGTTAGGAGAAGGAGAGCTGTTTTTATACCTTCTGTAGAACAATTTTCCAGGGGCTGGCACCATGACACTGGAGGTTAAGCCACCACTTACAATGCTAGCATCCCATGTGGGTGCCAGTTCAAGTCCCAGCCACTCTACTTCAGATCCAGCTCCTTGCTAATGCGCCTGGGAAAGCAGCAGAGGATGGCCCAAGTACATAGACCCCCGCGCCCATGTGGCAGACCTTGAAAAAGCTCCTGGCTCTGTTTCAGCTCAGCCCTGGCCATTGCAGCAATTAAGGGAAAGAGCCAGTGGATGGAAGATCTGTGCCTCCCTCCATCCCCATAACAATGGCTTTCAACTAAAGTAAATTGGAAAAAAATTTCCAAATTGTGTTGCGATCCAGGAGTGGGTAGTGAATTGATTTGACAGACCATAAACAATTTTCCAAATTTGCTTATTTAAAGTGACAGGGGTGCCAGGAGGGAGATCTTCCATCCGCTGGTTTATTCCTTGTATTCCTCAGGGGCTGGGGCTGGTCCAGACGTCCAGAACTCCATTAAGGTCTCCCCTAGAGGTGACAGGCTACCAAATACCTAAGTGTTCTCTACTGTCTTCCCAGGCCCATCAGCAGGGTGTTACAGGATGTGGGTGTTGAAATGGCAACTTAGCCTGTGTTACTACCATGCTACAAGAGAATATATGAGGAACAAGAATGGTGGCACAGTGTGTTAAGCTGCCGTCTGCAACACTGGCATCCAACATGATGCTGGATGGAATCCCAGCTGTTTCTTCTGATCCAGCTTGGGAAAATGGCCCAAGCACTCATGCTCTGCCACCCATACAGAAGACCCGAATGGAGTTTCTGCCTTTAGCCTGACCAAGACCTAGCTGCTATGGCCATCTGGGGGAGTAAAACAGTAGAAAATCTCCGTTTTTTCCATTCTCTGTTACCCTTGCCTTTCAAATAAAATAAATAAGCCTGTAAACAAAATAAATAAATAAATAAGCCTCAGGAGAGACAGAGAGAATGAACGAGAATAAGGGACAGGCATTTAGCGTAACAGTGAAGATGTCATGTCTTCGACTCCATGCCCCACAGATGCAGACCTGGGGGGGCTGCAGTGACGGCTGGACTCACTGGGTGGCCGTCCCCCAAAGAGGAAGCCAAGATGGAGTTCCTGGCTCTTGGCCTCAGCCTCCAGCCTAGGGCTGCTGCAGGTATCTGGGGAGTAATCCAGCAGCTGGGGGCTGTTTGCCTCTCACATTAAAGAGAGTGTGGGGGGGCCCAGCACGGTGGCGCAGTGGTTAAGGTCCTCGCCGTGCACGCCCGGGATCCCATATGGGCACCAGTTCTAATCCCGATGGCCCCACTTCCCTTCCAGCTCCCTGCCTGTGGCACGGGAAAGCAGCCGAGGATGGCCCAAAGCTTTGGGACCCTGCACCCACATGGGAGACCCGGAAAAGGCTCCTGGTTTCGGATTGGCATAGCATTGGCCGTTGTGCTCACTTGGGGAGTGAATCATCGGACGGAAGATCTTCCTCTCTGTCTCTCCTCTCTGTATATCCACCTTTCCAATAAAAATAAAATAAATCTTTAAAAACAAAATAAAAAATAAAGAAAGCATGGGGGTGGGAGGCTTGGGCCCGGCACCATGGCCTAGCAGCTAAAGTCCTCATCTTGAATGTGCCAGGATCCCATATGGTTGCCGGTTCTAACCCTGGAAGTCTCGCTTCCCATCCAGCTTCCTGCCTATGGCCTAGGAAAGCAGTCAAGGAGAGCCTAAAGCCTTGAAACCTTGCACCCACACGTGAGACCCAGAAGAGGATCCAGGCTCCTTGCTTCAGATTGGCACAGCACTGGCCGTTGAGGTTCACTTGGGGAATGAATCATCAGATGGAACATACTTCTCTGTTTCTCCCTCTCTCTGTATATATCTGACTGTGCAATTAAAAAAATTAATTAATTAAAAAAGAGGGGGGGCTGGCATGATGTCTCAACTGGCTAATCTTCTGTCTGTATGCTCTAGCATCCCATGTGGGTGCCAGTTTGTGTCCCAGCTGCTCCACTTCTCATCCAGCTTCCCGCTGCATTCACTTCTTATACAAAAGGCAGATTTTACAAAGAGAAGGAGAGACAAAGATCTTCCATCTACTGATTCACTCCCTAAGTGGTCACAACCGCTGGAACTGAACCAATCCAAAGCTAGGAGCCAGGAGCCTCCTTCAGGTCTCCTACGTGGGTGCAGGGTCCCAAAGCTTTGGGCCATCTTCCATTGCTTTCCCAGGCCACAAGCAGGGAGCTGGATGGGAAGTGGAGTAGCCAGGACACGAACCAGAGACCATATACGATCCTGGCATTTGCAGGTGCAAGATTAGCTTGTTGAGCAACTGTGTTAGCCCCATAAACTGAATTTTCTAGATATAAGCTTACAACATTTTCATAAACCAACCAACCAAACAAACAAAGCACAATTAGGGAAATAAGCCACTATTCTCCCAGGCTATCCTCTTCCTCTGGAGAAAACAAAGTCAGATTCCCATCTTCCTTTAACTCTTTCCCTTCCTGTGTCCAGCTCCCTTACCGAGTGGGTCATCCTCCTCTTCCTCCTCCCGGGAACCATGCAGGTGCTGTTGCAGGTGCTGAGTGACATGCTCGCAGAATTCCTCCATGGCGGAGCACACAAAGGAGCAGGAGCCCCACTCGCACTGGAGCCCCAGGTTCTCCTTCCGGGGAACTTTCCCAGGAGGTGGCATGGCCTTCCTTGTGGAGGGAGAGGAAGAAGTGCACAGTTATCAAATTTCAAGCCAAGTGCTGCTGGACAAGGAGCTGCAAGTGGCCTGTCTAGAAGCAGCAGGTGTTTTCCCAGCAAAGGCAGAATAGCAGGGCTTCAACTTCCTGGAAGCTATCTGGTGTACTTGGGGAAAGAAAACAAAAGCTAACACTACCCAGCATACGCTAGGCACTAAGCTAAACACTTCAACAGACATTTCCAAGAAGGAATTATTCCTATGGGAGACACAATACTCAGGTTCAAAGACATCACTTTGGACATGGATCAGAATTCAATTCTAGACTCTACTATCCACCACCTACTAGCTGTGTGACCTTGGCCAAAAACTTAACTTTTAACTTCTGAACATTCTTTTCCTGCAAGATGGGGTTAGTGTAATTTTTTACAATTTATTTATTTATTTTCACCTACTTAAGAGCCAGAGCAATAGAGAGAAAGAGAAAAAGAGAGCTTCCACCTACTGGTTCACTTCCCAAACACAATAGCCACAGCTGGACCAGGCTGAAGCCAGGAGCCCAGAACTCCTTCTGGGTCACCTACATGGGTGGCAAAGACACAGCACCTTTTTTTTTTTTTTTTTTAAACTGGAGAGTCAGATTTATGGAGGAGAAGAAGGGACAGAAAGATCCTCCATCTGCTGGTTCACTTCGCAAGTGACCCCAAGAATGGGAGCCAAAGCCAGGAGCCTTTCTGGGGCTCCACATGGGTGCAGGGAAAGACCCAAGCACTCAAGCCACCATCTGCTACCTCCTCAAGCTATATCACCAGGAAGCTGGATTAAAAGTGGGACAGGACCCAGCATGGTAGCCAAGCAGCTAAAGTCCTCGCCTTGAAAACATCGGGATCCCGTATGGGCACCAGTTCTAATCCTGGCAGCCCCGCTTCCCATCCAGCTCCCTGCTTGTGGCCTGGGAAAGCAGTAGAGGACAGCCCAAAGCCTTGGGACCCTACACCCATGTGGGGAACCCTACACCCATGTGGGAGACCCAGAAGAGGCTCCGAGCTCCTTGCTTTGGATTAACTCAGCTCAGACTGTTTGCAGCTACTTGGGGAGTGAATCAACGGATGGAAGATCTTCCTGTCTCTACTTAAAAAAAAAAAAAAAAAAAAAGTGGGACAGCCAGGACTCAAACCAGCACACCAATATATGGAAGGTAGGTAGCCCAAGTGATGGCATAGCCTGCTATATCACCTGTCCCTGAAACACTGTTCTTTAATTTCACATCTAATATTTGTCAAGCACAATATTAAGCATTTCATTTGCTTTGTCATTTAATTACCAACAATGCCCCAAAAATTAGGCCCTATTTTTTAACTTCATATATAGGCAAGGACCTGATAGGTTAACATGCCCAAGGTCACACATTGGTGGCTTAGCAAGGTCACATAAAGTTCACTCCAAAATGAACTTCCTTTTGGATTCAGCCTGCAGATGGGCCCTCAATCTGCTTCCTTCATATAGCATCACTTGGTACCTGTGTGTCATCACTGTCCTATCTGTGGGTGAGCAATGTGAAGCAACTAGCATTCAGAGGTCTGAACCGGCTGCCCGGCACCAGGGTCCAAGTCACCATCTCAGCGAATCTGTTCTACCTATTCATTACCTATTTCCAACCATGTCTATAAAACCTCATTCACATCAACACTCCACCGTGGAAGCTACTATTATCATCCCACTTCATCAATGAGGAATTGGCCCAGATAGCTTAGGTCACAAAGCTAGAAAGCGAGAGACAGCAAAAAGCTAGGGAGTCTGGCTCTATGTTCCGTCCACATTGGCGTTTCTTAGGCCTCCTGTCCAATTCCCTCCACTAGACACACCATGTTCCCCATTAATCTGTCACCCCCTGAAAAGCCCAGCTTCATGTCCTATCCCATCCGCCCTGCCAACAAACACCGGAGCTCCTGCCACTAATGATGTTACTTCAGACAGGTACAACTTCTCTGAACCAACTTCTTTAAAGGGAAAATGAAGCGCTAGTGCAAGGGGCAGGGTCAGATGCAGCAAATCGGCTCACAAGGCAATAGTTACAAACTATCACCTTAAGCCTCAGGTTCCCAAGCAGCTTGGGAATCGCCGATACCTCACCCAATTAAAGAACTACACAATGGCTGATACAAGACTCAGCCTAGTACATCCCAAGAACTCAACACGTGATAGCTAGGAGAAGCCTTGCTTCTTCGGAGGCTGGGGAAGGACCGAAGCAGGAATTGCTGACCCTCCTTCAACTCCTTCAACCAGAGCCAAGCCTGCAACCAAAACAAAGCGACCGACGAGAGAAAACTCCAGACACAGAAACATCCCCAGGGCAGGCAAACCTCGCAGACAGGAGCAACTGGGACTGCGGGAAGGGGGCCGTTCCGGAGGCCAAAACCTCTCTCACCCGCAGCCCTGAAGCCTTCCCGGAACCCTTCCCTCTAATCAAAGTGTGGCACTGACCGGGTCTCGCCGAGAAGCCCCGCGACGGGGGCAGCAGCGAGGTTCGAATCCAGGTGAGGGCCACACAGAGATGAGCGTGGTCGAGCTGCAAGAAGGGGCCTCGCCGAGACGGCTCTGGAAAAGGGTCCCGCGACCGCCGTGGAGCGCACGTCCCGCCGGCCGACGCGGCCGAGCCTCGAACCCCGGCTCCCGCCCGCCGGCTCCGGGTCTCTCCGGCCCGCCTCCCTACATCCCCTCTCCCCGCCCCGAGAGAGTGCGCTGAGCGACGGGCGGCGGTGGCCAATCGCCGCGCCCAGATACGACTGAAAACCAATGGCCGCCTCGTCTGAGGGAAAACGGGCGCCTGAGAGACGCGGAAGGGGCGGGATCCGGGCGTGGAGCTCTGCGTCCCGGGGCTCGGAGGGGCGGCTGCACCGGGCAGGGGCCGCGCGGGGGAGAGGCCGCGCCGGGGAGAGGCCGCGCCGGGGACAGGCCGCACCGGGGACAGGCCGCACCGGGGACAGGCGGCGCGGCCTGCGGGGCTCCCGGCAACTCGCGCGGGCTTGGCGCCACAGGGCCCGAGTGACCCGTCTGCGCAGACTCGGCGTGCGGGGCCCAGCGGGCATGCGCAGGGCTCGACGCGGGCGCCAGGAGGTCCGCCTCGACTCCGGCCCGACCCCACAGACGCGCGCTGTAGGTCCGAGCGAGCTGGCAGCTGATTCCTCCCCTCACCCGCCGCAGCATTTCTGCTGCTTGTTAACACCAGAGGAAAGAAGTTCATCTCCCTTCTGTTCGTCGTCCGCTTCCCGGTCCCTTCTGGCTTTGCTCCACGGAGCACTCCACGTGAGCTGACAACCAGCAAGAGCTGATCTTGAGGAACCTTTGGCATCTGAGCTCTGCCTCCTCCTCCAGCCACATGTTGAGGCCCTCTCGATCTCACTCTCAACTCTGCTGCCCAAGTTTCCTTTTTTACATGTCGTGCCTTGTCCCAGCTCTCTTTGCCTGTAATAATCTTCCCCTCACTCCCAGGTTTGACTTCTGTTTATTCTTCTGAGGGCAGAGTTCACGCACCGGTTTGCAACACCGCGCTTCTTGAGGTCCTGGCCCCTTCTCAGTGTGACTATCTCATTGCATTATATTTGCCGGGTTCCGCGGCACTGGATCATTCAGTGAGGGAAGCAGGGACCGTCTGTTTCTTTGTAACTCCCTTCTTCAGCCCGGGGTTGAAACAATAAGGATTCAAGACACGTATGTTACACTGGTTACATACTTAAGTTACTTATTGGTATTTTTCTCCATTATCATTTTCTATATCTTCCAACCTGATTATTTTCAGGTTTATTTATCTGTGCAACTTATACAAGCCCAGAAAGACGTAGAAGTCATCAGTATAAATAAAATGAATTTAAAGATGCCATTACAGACAGTAAGGCCATATTTGTGCGTGAGTTATTTTTGTTTTCAACAACAGTGAAATAGGGGTTGGTCCCCATTTTTAAATAGGGTTTCAAAATATAATTCCCAAAGTTTACTTTTATGAAGTGTACAAATAGTATGTCATTAAAAGCCAATCTCATTTTAATTCAGAATTACCTTTTCATTTATACCACAAATGGCTATTCTATTTTAGCAGTTCCATGAAGAGGAAGTGCAGTCACAAAGCTGTGTAAACTCAAAGGTGACAGCAAAAACTTCCGGATCACTCTGGGATGCATACATGTATCCAAAAATTAAGACCGTGTCTTCCTTCCTAGTGTCATTTCCATCGCAAACTGTTGCTTTTGAAAGCAATCCAAAATTTTGGCTGGATAATCCCAATATACTTTGAGATTGTTCTATAAAAGCTGCCACAAAGGGGCAGGTTCTTGGCACAGTAGTTAAGCTGCCATTTGTGATGCCCACATCCCATATGAAACGCCTGAGTTCCAGTCCTAGCTCCATCTTTATTTAATTTTTAGTTCATTGGTATATGTAAAAAGCTGAGTTACCAAGAGGGGAAAAGGTTGAGATCTTCCATCCACTATGTCACTTCCCCCAATAGTTGCACCAGTCAGAGTTGGGCCAGGTGAGGATCTAGGAGCTTCTTCCAGGCCTCCCACATGGGAGGCCCAAATACTGAGCCAGTCTTCTGCAGCTTTCCCAAGCACAGTGGCAGGGAGCTGCTAGTAAGTAGCACAGCCAAGGACTCAAACTGCTGCCAGTACAAATGCTGATGTTATAGACAGCAGCTCAATCTGCTACATAAAACTGGCCCCTTGGGCCTGGTATGATAGCCTAGTAGCTGCTGGGATCCTACCTGGGTGCTGGTTGGTGTTCTAGACTCCACTTCCAGTCCAGCCCCCTGCCTATGGCCTGGGAAAGCAGCGGTGGATGGCCCATAGCCTTGGGACCCTGCACTTGCATAGAAGACCCAGAAGAAGCTCCTGGTTCTGGACTGGCTCAGTTCCAACTGTTGCAGCTACATGGGAAGTGAACCAGCAAATGGAAGATATTTTTTTAAAAAAAAAAAACTGCCACGAAAACTTACAAGATAATTTATTCTACTTAAAAGCTATTCCTTCTGAAAGTGTGAGATGGGCCAAGTTGATGAAATCATGTTTCATATTTCCTTTGCCTTTTTTTTTTAAGATTTATTTATTTATTGGAAAGTCAGATATACAGAGAGGAAGAGAGACAGAGAGGAGAAACAGAGAGGAAGATCCTCTGCCCGATGATTCACTCCCCAAGTGAGCGCAACGGCCAGTGCTATGCCAACCTGAAGCCAGGATCCAGGAACCCTACCCCCCCCCCCGCCCCAGGTCTCCCACACAAGTGCAGGGTCCCAAAGCCTTGGGCCATCCCCGACCGCCCCCCAGGCCACAAGCAGGGAGCTGGACGGGAAGCAGACCTGCTGGGATTAGAACCAGCGCCCACAAGGGATCCCGGTGCGCAGAAGGTGAGGACCCCAGCCGCTAAGCCACGCCACCAGGCCCATTTCCTTTGCTTTTTAAAAAGCTTTTTAAGAAATATTATTTGGGGCTGTTGCCATGGTTCAGTGACTAAATCCTCACCTTGCACACGCAAGGATCCCATCTAGGCAGTAGATCATCTCAAGGCTGCTCCACTTGCCATCCAGCTCCCTGCTTGTGGCCTGGGAAAGCAGTGGATATCCCAAAGCCTTGAGACCCTGAATGCACACAGGTGACCTGGAAGAAGCTCCTGGCTCCTGGCTTTGAATTGGCTTAGCTCCGGTTGTTGTGACCATTTGAGGAGTGAACCAGAAGATCAAAGATCTTCCTATCTCTCCTTTTCTCTGTAAATGTGCCTTTCCAATGAAAATAAGTGCTTTTTTTAAAAAAAGAAAAAGTTTGGTCCGGTGCACTAGACTAGTGGCTAAAGTCCTCGACTTGCATATGCCAGGATCCCATATGGGCCCTTCTTCCCAACCAGCTCCCTGTTTGTGGCCTGAGAAAGCAGTCAAGGATGACCCAAACCCTTGGGGCCCCGGCACCTGCATAGAGATCTAGAAGAACCCTTGGCTCCAGATCAGCTCAGATCAGCTCAGCTCTAACAGTTGCAGCCACTTGGGAAGTGAACCAGCAGATGGAAGATTTTTCTCTTTATCTCCTTCTCTCTGTATATCTGCCTTTCCAATTAAAAATAAATAAATAAATAAAAGGTGGGCCAGGTGCAGTAGCCTAGCAGCTAAAGTCCTCGCCTTGAATGCACCGGGATCCCATATGGGTGCCTGTGCTAATCCCGGTGGCCCCGCTTCCCATGCAGCTCCCTGCTTGTGGCCTGGGAAGGACGGCCCAAAGCCTTGGGATCCTCCAGCCACGTGAGAGATCCAGAAGAAGCTCCAAGCTCCTGACTTCAGAACGGCGCAGCTCTGGCCATTGCGGCCACTGAGGGAGTAAATTATTGGTTGGAAGATCTTTCTATGTCTCTCCTCCTCTCTGTCTGTATATGTGACTTCCCAATAAAAATAAAACAAATCTTTAAAAAAAAAAAAAAGGCTATTTGAAACGTAGAGATTCATTTTCCTATACTGATTCCTGAAATTGCCACAATAACTGGAGCTGGCCCAGGATGAAGCAAGGAGCCTGGGACTCCATGCAGGTTTCATGTGGGTGGCAAAGGCACGGCCACCTGGACCATCTCAGACATATCAATAGGCAATTGGATCAGAAGAGAAGCAGTCAGGATTTGAACTGGCATCTGTACGGGAGGTAAGCATCTCAGGTAGCAGTTTAACTGACTACACCACAACACCAGCCCCTTTTGCATTCATTTAAAAATCTCTATGTTTGAAATATGATCAAGTTCTTTAAAATATGTGATTGCTTTGAGCCCTGAGCCCCCATCACTTGACCAATACAATCCCTGGTTACAATCTGCTCAGTTCCCAGGTAGAGTGGACATCTGAACACTGGGCCCCTCATCAACCAAACTTTCTCATGACATTACAAATTCAGTGTATGTGGCTATGCTCTGATACAGATAAACAAACTTCTGCTTTATGAGCTACTGGGAGCTGCAGCATTTATTAGGTTGGAGGAAAGTCTGAAAAAGCACTGACTTTTCATGACCCAACATTGAGCATATAAATTAACCAAAAAATCTGCCACTCTTTCCAAATGACCTCATAGTCTGCGATTAACATGGACTGAAGCTTGGGGAATATAACAAATCCTTGGCATATACCTGAGGCATATGCCCCGTTAGGGAGGTGAGTCACAGAATGCCACTGAGTGCTTACCCAAGCCACCCTTATTCTCAAGACACGAGGAAGTTAAGGTCGAGAAAGGAGAACTGCCCTGAGGTCCCCCCACACCCTATTTGTGGCAAACTTGGGTTCCCTGCCTCTTAGGCGTGTGCTCTGGACTCCTTAGAGCCCATCAGTTCAAGTTCCCAGGGTACAAGGCATAGGGACACAGTTTGCCACTATCTGTCACTTCTTAAGAAAAGCTTTTTTTGGCAAGACACTTAGAAGGCTTCTTCTCCTCACCCACCTCTCTTCCAGCCAGCATGAACTTGTCCGCAGCCCTGAGCATGCAGTCCTGAGCACCCAACTGCCACCTCCCACCATAGCGGAAGGACAGCTACTGCTGTCACCATCCCCACTTTAGAGTCAGACACAGGCACTCAGAGGTTACAAAACCTGCCCGTGTACACGCAGGGAAGGACTGGAGCTGTGCAGCTCTACTATCAAGCAGTCTGTTTGAGAAGGAAAATGAAGATGATGGTAGACACTGAAATTTTTAGCTTCAACCTTCAGGAGCCTGTCTGTCCCAATCTTCTCTCTACATCCTTCTTCTCGGTGGGAGCTCCTCAGCAGACCCACTGTGTCATCTGCGCTGTGTCACCTTTGAGGCCCCTTGCTCTCACCACACCATCAGCATCACCTCACTGCCTATGTGCCTTCCAAAGGAGAACCTGTTGTCCAGTTTATAAACTCCAGATTGACTTTAATTTAATAAGTTAAACTCCAAGCCATCACACAGCAATGGATATCATCATTATCTCCCGACACGCAGAGGTGCAGCGTTGCCCTCACTCCCACCATCCGTCTTTAAATAAAGCACTCGGACCATCTCCCCCGGGGGGGGGGAAGGTTTCCCATCAGGCTCCTGACTCCCTCCTTCTAACCAAGCCACTGCTCATGGAGAAGGCATCAAGTACAAAAAACGGTAAGAAAGGGGAGGGAGGGACGAGGAGCAGAGGGGAGGAGGGGAGTGGGGAGTACCTGCCCCCCCCATCCCGGGCATTGGCCCGGCTTCCTATGAGCTGCCCATGTCCTCAGGGGCAGACATTGGTGCTGGTCAGAGTGGGGACATGAGGGAGGCGCAGGGCCCCGTCCTGATGGGACTTGCCTACCCTCTTGGGACAGAAGAGAAGGGCCACCTAGGAGATGCCCTTTGTCACCTGTTTACTGAGGGTCCTAGACCACACATATAAATAAAAAAGAATAAATAAGGGAGGTGGGGGGGAGCACCCTGGGACTGTGCTCAGGGCCCAGTGTCACCAGGCCAGTGCACCTGAGCAATGTTATGTGTGCCAGGACAGAAACCACTCCTGCTCCCAGCCACCAACTCCCCCTCCCGTGTCCTTGACAACGGGTGCCCACTTCTCACATGCATCCCACTACAGGGACCCTTCCAACTAGCCCCATGGCCCAGGGTGGATAGGGCTTCCTGGAACCCCAAGGACCTTCCTGACCCCAGCACTGGGACTCCAGGAAGGGGGACAGCAGGAGGATGAGGGGAATGGGCTGAGAGAACTCTCACTCTTTCCTAGCCCAGCAGGTGGAGAGGGTCCTCAGAGTTGGGGGCTGGGGTTGCCATTGGCCTTGGGTTTGGACTTGAAGGAAAAACGCTTGATAAGGCGGCGAGAAAAGCTGCCAGCCTTCTTGCGGACACTGGGCGTGGCCGTCGTGTTTGAGAGGTCATCGTGGGATTGGCTCAGACCAGCTTCCTTCTGTCGAGGCTTCCGGCGGAAGATAAGCTTCGTGCCACTGCGCAGGAAACTCACTGTGGGGGGAGGGAGAGAGGGGAAGCTGAGGCAGAGACGGGATGGGGGTGGTATGGGGACATGAGGAAAGGAGGATGGAGGGACAGATGATGTGGAAACAGGATCAATCCCTTGGGCCCAACACTCAGAGCTCCTGGCCAAAAGAAGGAGAAATGAGCATGTGCGTTATCCATCCTGAGGAAGAAATGGAGGTACCCCAGAGACTAGGCAGAGGGTGCACCCCACAGCCAGTAAGGTGCAAAAGTGGAAGTGGGTTGACACTCACTTGTTTACTCAAAGCCAAGAAGGTGACCAAGAAGCGGTACCTCTGGGAACTTCTAGGAGGTCAACTCATGACCAATGGAATGAGATGCTCCCCACAGCAGGCAGTGGGCTCAGGGGGTCTCATGATCTCAGAAGGGGGTGCAGGTGCATCTGTAACTGACAGGCTCAGTGGTATAGAAATATGAGGACATTTGGGGGCCAGCCCTTCAGTCAGTCTTTGAAATTGAAGTGCCAGAGGTGTTCGTAGCCTGTGTCACCTCTGGAGGAGCTATTCTGGGGTTAGCCTGGAGTAGGACTTACACGCTTTGGGATGAAGTAGAGAGTGGAAGGGAAGAAATGAGAAGGTGGAGAAGAAAGGAAGACAGGAGCTTAGACCTGGGAAGAAACAGTGATGGCACTAAAGGGAGGTGACTTTTTGGGCTTTCCTGTGACCCCAGTCCCAGATCCAGGCCAGACACCAAAGCCCCAAGCTCCCTTCTCTACTGCAGTGGGGATAAAGCTGGTTGGGGACCAGCCAGGAAGGGGAACACAAGGTCGCCTGAGGCTGCCATGACTCCAGGTATCCAGTAGCACCCAGGTCATAACCCTGGGCAGAAAAACAAAGCAGATTGTGGCCATCTCCCCTCCTACTCCAGAAAAAATTAAAATTTAAAAAAGTGGGGGGTGAGCATCCTGCCAGAGTCTCCCCACCTTTGTGGTCCTTGAGGCTGCGTGTCTCCAGGGCTCCAGTAGACCCTGTTTCTGACTCGACGTCATCCACAGATGGTCTCTCAGAAATGTCCGAGCGCGTGGTCTCATCTGCTTCCTGGACGCTTGTGGGGCTGGAGAGGGCATCTAGGGCTCCTGGAGAAATGGCTGGTGGGTCGGAGGGAGGGGAGGAGGGACCACCACTGGTCCCTGCTGGGTCATCCTGCATGGAGGCTTCCAGTGAGGCTGCATAGCCCAGGGACAGTGCCAACTCATCCTGGGCAATGGGCACCTGGCAGAAGGGACAAGTATGAATGGGCAGGAGTGACCCATGAGGGCTTGTTCTCTCTCCCAGCTCCTTTCCCCATGAGTCCCGTTACCTTGGAAACCCCCGAGATGATGAGAGTGCTGCGCTTGGTGGGCGTCTTCTTGGCTGCCCGCCCACTGGGCTCAGTCAGCTGACGAATTGCCGTCTCTGCCACCGGGTCTAAGCCGTTGGAAAGGTGGCTCTCCCCTGCTGGGGGTGTAGGGGACAGATAGCCCCATTTCTCCCTGGCTCCTTCCCACTCTACCCAAAAAAGGGGCTGGCCCCTGGGGCCCCAGCATCACCACATTCACACACATGCCTATTCCCCGACTCACGGCTGCTGCTGGGAGAAGTACTGCCGGGGCCACCAGGCTCACTTAACACAGTGGTCGTCTTCTCAGTCACCTCCACCTTGGACGGGGAGCGGGAGGGGGAGTCTGGTGGGTGGGGGAGGGTCAGTGAGCTGGGCTGTGCTTCTGAGCGGCAATCCCCCACCCCCACCTTTGTTGAGATGCAGACTTTGGTTGACTCAGAGGGCAAGATGATGAAGGGATGATGAATCATGGGATTAATCATGGGGACCAAAAGACCCCATAGGAAAAAAAAAAAAAGACCCCTAGGAACCAATGGGAAAGTGAAAAAGGGCCCGCTGGCAGGTATGGGGAGATTGCTATGGAAATGCAGAGTATACAGGGATGGTGGAGGAGCTCTTGGGAGGTAGGGACAATGCCATGGGACCTAGGTGATGGAGAACACTGAAGATGGGAGAGGTGGAGTGGAGGATCCCACAGGGTGTAGGAAGAGGGAGGGCTGGAGGTGGAGAAGAACAGAGACCCACACAAGCAGAGGGGAAGTACAGAGTCTTGCAGGAGGAGCTACTAAAAGTAGACATCGAAGGCTGAGCAGAGCTGTTGGGGAAATGGAGTGCTATGTGGGGAAATGGAGTGCTATATGGGAATGATTGCGAGACTTGGGTCCCAAGTTAAGGTGTGGCAAGATCAGAGAGGATTGCCAGGAACAAGGCCTTTCTTCCCCCTTTCCCTGGCCCACCCAGGACCCGGGGCCTGCAGCCAAGAAGCACTGCCTAGAGCTGGGCTCTCTGGCTCCCTGCCTTTACCTAGTTTGCCATCAACACGGGGCCGTGACTGGACGGTGGTGACGGTGGTGACAATGGTGCCATCAGGCATGATGGTGCGGTCCAGTTCGATCTTCTTGGTGGGAGTGATGCTGGGACGGGGAGTGGAGAGGGTGGGTGTGCCCAGGTTTCGGGGGGAGCCCTCTTCATACTGAAGCTGCCAAGGGGTGGAATGCAAAGAGGCCAGGGCTTCAGAGACTGCCCATCCCACCCTGCGTCCTGCTCTCCCATCTGTACCCCACTGCCCGACCCTGGCTGCACATCTCACCTCTGCTGCTATGGTGGCTGCTGGGCCCAGAATTCTCCCTGGCCCTGGCGTGAGTGGACACACCTGTCTTCGAGACAGTGGTCTGGATGGAGAGCCCACAGGTAGTGTGGCCTGGCCCAGGAGCTCAGCTGGAGAAAGGAGAAGAGCTGTGAGCTGTGGCCCTGTTTGGCAGCCATGCAGCTTACCCCCCAGCCCTGCGACGCACCATCTCCATGGCTGCTGTTCCTCAGCACTTTGAGGCTTAGCTCCCGGCTCTGTGGTCCCAGATCCCTGAGGGCCAGAAGGACATGGGGACGATGAGCAACCTGAACCCACCCCAGAGCGCATCCCAGGCCAGGGGTAGAGACACAGATATCCTGTCTGTCCTTCCCACTCCTAGCCCTTTGTCTTCCAGAAAATAGTAGGGCCAGGTTGGGAGGCCACACTCCTTAGCTGGGCATTCAGTCCTTCCAGGCCCTGCTCTGCTCTGTCTGGCCAGCCTCAAATCATGCTCTTTCATTTGCCCAACCCTCCTCCTACCAAGAATAACCTCCCACGCTGGTGAAACCAGCTTTATCTCAGGTGCAGTCTGATTGCCACCTCCTCCCTGTAGCCTGCTGGAATCCCTATTCCCTTCAGGGAAGAGATCTTTTCCACCTAAGTGCTCCCTTGGCAGATTGTGGTCAATCTCGATGGGAGCACTCATACCACCATTTTGTACCTCCGTTTCTGCCTCAAGCCTAGGGTCAGTCTATGTGTGGGAGCTGTATCTTGGCCGTGTCCAGATCTCAGGGATCCAGGCCAAAACCTAACATGTACAAGGGGACTCCCATCAAGAGCTGCTGCTGATTCATGTCAGGGCTATGGAAGGGTCTGACCCTCGGTTACCCATGGAAGCAGGGGACTGGGGGAAAGACCACTCCTTACAGTGCCAAGTCCTCTGTCCATTCCACCTCAGGGCCAGCCCTCACGGGCTTGGTCCACTTCTGTTGCATGGGGCTGTCAAGCTCAGCTACACAGCACAGTTCTTCGGAGCCTGGAAGGAACCAGCAGTTAGAAAATCTCAGAGTCAAGAAGCTGCTGCAAATGAGAGGCAGTGTCCTAGATAGAGGGACAGGGATGGAGGCAGCCACAGGCTGTGGCCTGCACATGCTCACCTCCCAGCTCACTTCCCAAGTGAGCTGCTCGAAGCTGCCGCAGCAATAACCGAGTAGGTCTGGGAATGACTGGCTGGGTCTGGGGCATCGTGGGTGGCTTCTCACTGGGCACCTAGGAGCAGGAGGAGGAATCTTGACAGAGTCTCCTGGGGAGGCAGGTGCATGCAAAACCTTTGACTTTGGGTGCTTACTCACCAGGCCTGCTGGGGCGGAGCAGGCCCTGAGGTTGACCATCATGGCTGGCTGGGTGCTGACTATGGCATCCTTGATGAGCTCTTCAATCACGGAGAGCTCAACCTCCTCCTCCTCTCTCTACATGGAGCAGGAGACCCAAAAAAAAAAAAAAAAAGTGGAGCCACTGGCTCTGCCGCCCTGGCCTGCCTCGTCGCCAGCCCTGGTTCCTTACCTCCTTGGCCTGCAGCTTAGGAAGCACCGTCAGACTGAGATCTGGGCGGTCGGGGAAGGCCCAGGACACAAGCAGTCCTTCCTCAGGAATCTCCTTCAGGTTGACTTCCAGCTGGGGGACAGGGACACAAGCCCTGGCTGAAGCATCCCATTCCTCCCAGAACTCCTGATTCCCTTGAGACATTCCCTTCTCCAGTTCCATCCCAGAAAGGAGGCAAAGAAGAAAATGCTGGGCCAGCCGCACCCACACCCTGTCCAACTAGGTTGCCCACATCCCCCTCCACCTGTGTTGGTGGCAGTGTCAGAGTGACGTGGTAGGTCTCCATGGAGACGGCAGCGGGGGATTGCTGGGTCACGGAGACCGGGAACCGCATCTCCTCAGCAGACAGCTGGCAATGCAGCACCTGAGACAGGCGAGGTGAGGTCAGGTGCACGGGAAGGGTGCTCACCTGCTTCAGCTTGCCCTACAGAGATTCAGCACACCTCTGCCCACCTCTCTTCCTTGGGACTTCTCCTTTTGGGGGTTATGAACCCTAAACAAATCAGATCAGAGCCAAAGATTCCTTGCCCCAGAGAAAAGCAGATTTATATACATGCATGCACGTTTTACACCTAACTTGAGTAGGCATCTCAGACCTTCTGGCATTGGAGACCCCCTGACTAAAGGGGACCCTAGGGACCAGCCTCCCAGTCATCCCACAGAAGACAGTGCCCAGCAATCCCTTACCATGGTGCGTTCTGATTGGTCAATGCAGGTCACATGGCTGATGCTGGCTCTGGGTGGTAGTTGGGGCACCTCCTCAAAGGTGATTTGGATGGAGCTCTGAGGGAGTGATGCAAGCACAAGATCAGGTCCTGGAGCTGCCCCCACCAGGCTGGCCGGCTCGGCTGCTGGCTGGGCCCTGGCACTGCGGATGCCTCAGCTGCAGAGGCTGGCTTCTGGTCCCTCCTTGGCTCCGGGTTTTAGGGCAGGAGGTGCTTCCATCACAGCCCCCTCTCCAGGGACCTGCGGCTGCTGGGAGCCGCTGGGAGCCAGAACACCTCAGAGACTGAATCATCTTGAGCTGAAGACCCTGGGTTCCTCCTGGGATGCCAGAGTCTCTTCTCCTGACCTTCTCTTCAACCCTTTCCAACCCTCAAAAAAGGTGTATGTATTCCCCCTTGCAAAAAAAAAAAAAAATCAAGACATTACTTTCCTCCTGTACATAATAGTTTGGCAGAGAGGGTTAGAGCTAAGGATCAAGGCCACTTCCTGCAAGATGAAAACTAGAGAAATGAGGCTAAGCCTTCTTCCAGATAAACAGGATGTGGAGACTCAAGAATAGGATGCTAACTATGCTCTTACAGGTGAAGACCCGGCTGAGCAACGCCTTGGGAAACTTTACCAGAGGCACTGGGAAGAAAAGCAAGCTCAGAGGGCTTGGGGCAGGGATCCATCTAATTCTTCAAGGCAGACAGCTGGGTGGTGTTAGGAGCTAGAAAGCTGCTAGCTCAGGTCTCAAGACAACTGCTTCCTGATTCATCCTCAGCCGCAGAATTAACCTACGGTAGGGTCCTCTGGCGAGCTGGGTGGCAAGAAGAGTTGAGAAGGGGCACAGATGAGACTGGCAACTCTCCTGTGGGTGGAACTGGCAACTCTCCCATGGGCCTTGAGCTGGAGGACACAGACCCATGGGGCCCATTTGCCTTACAATCTGGATGAAGTTGACTTCTCTGCTTCGGTTCCAAGACCAGTCCAAAGGAAGTGGAGGTTGATGCCTGGAACCTCATCTCCCCACCCCCTGTCAGCGAGGCCAATATCTGGCTGAGTCAGCTGTCCCAGGGAGCTGCTTGTGACCCAGGGACAAGGTGCAGGGAGAGCTAGTTAGTTGAAGTTGTAAATTGGCTAGTCAGCTGGGCGGAGGGAACAGTGCAACTTCCTGTGGTCACTTCTGTTCCTCAGGCATTTTGGGAGCTCCCAGGGTAAAGCTTCCCAACCGGCCATGGCTGAAAATGGAACCCTCTACATGAGGTGTGAATGGACTGCGAGGGCCTGAAGAGATCACAGGGCCAGGAGAGAGAAGGGGGTCCTGTGAAAGTGTGTGTGGGGGGAGGGAGCTCCCACCCCACCTAGGTCTCAGGATCAGGACTTCCTGGGAAGCAAAATGCCCAAAGGGCAGCGGGAAGAAGTCCCCGGGGCTGCTCTGTGATTGACCCTGGAGGGACAGCTCCAGCTGCTTGTGAAGGGCATGGCATACGGACCATCAAGCTGTTCTCCACCGTGCCTCCAACAGACATGCTTCCAGCCAGCAAGGAGCAGACGGATGTGTTTGACTGTGGCAGTGAAACCACTGGTGGGCAGGGGATAGTTCAGGCTCTTTGGAAATCTGCCTGGCCACGGTGGGGATTCAGGGCGTGAGATCTTAACGGGGTGTGGTGGCATGAGGACCAGGCAAATTCCTCTGGCAGGTGCACCTGTCTGCCCTCCCACCTACAGGACCAGCGAGCCAGGCGGAAGTGCCTTCAGGCACAGGGATTAGCGTTGCTATGAGAACAGGAACTTGTGCAAGGGTCTGGAGCTAGAGTACCTGGCCCACAAAAAATTGATGTGGGGACGGAGCTGGATTTCTTCAACCCTAAGCCTCCACTGCACCCTTTTTCTCTGATCCGCGAGGGAAAGAGTGAGCTTGGAGCTTCCCAGTCGATCTCCACTCGCATCCTGGCCCCTTTCTTCCCTCCCCCGCCCCGGAATGGAAAAGCTGCAGGGCCCGCCTAGGGGCCCCATCCAACTCACCCCGTCCCTGCAGGCCTGCTCGTTCAGCGCTCGCACCCAAGCCCGCTGCCAGTTCTCCCGGAAAGACTTGAAGGCGAAGAGCGACGCCAGAAGGCCCCGAACGCCTGGCTCCTCGGCGGTGCCGGCCCGAGCCGCCCGCAGGCGCAGCAGCGAGCGCCAAACGCCCAGCTCCCTCGGGGAACCCGCGGGCTCCGCCGCTAAGGTGGGTCCCCGGCCCCCGCGGGCCCGCGCCAGCCACAAGCCCCGGCCGTACTGGAGCAGCCAGCCGAACACCGTGAGCAGTGAGGCGGCGAAGAGGATCAGTAGGGCCGCCCAGCCCACGTCCCGCTGCCCCCAGCCGGGATCCATGCTCCGCGCGGGCTCGGTCCGGGTCCCGGCTTGGGCTCAGGCGCTGCCCCGGGGGAGCATGGCCCAGCAGCGCCGCGGGGCGGGGGCGGGCTCCCCCGGGGCCGGGCGCGCGCGGGCTCGGGCGGAGGGGGAGCTCTGGTGCGCCGAGCGCCCGGGACTAGCAGGTGCCACGGACCACGGAGGAGGTGGCAGGGAGGGTCCTCGGGGGCGCTCCGTGGCCGGGGTCCAGCTCCCGGCAGGGTCCAGCAGTCGCAGCCCGGTCAGCGTCCGGCCGGTTCGCGGCTCCTCCCACGTCGCGCGCCCGCCGGACCCGGGCGGGGACTGGGCTAGAGGGACCCGGGTTCGCGGGCCGGCACCGGCTCCAGGCGGGTTTGCGTGCGCAGAGCTGACACTGACAACACCGCCGGGCGCCCCGCCCCCACCCACCCTTAAAGGGGCCGCACCCGCGCCGGGCGGGGCCCGGCAGCCAGGCGCTCCGGCGTTGGGGCGGGAGCAAGCGGAGGAGGAGGAGGTTCCGGGGTTCACAACAGGCGGGGTTTTGAGCCGCTCCGCCCCGACGCTGCCAGCTGGACGCTCATCCTCACCTGAGCTCACGGCCAAAGAATGACTTCACTTACCCTCTTGCCTTCCCAACGCTTCTTAGAGCTCTGTTAAGTCAAACGCTTGTGGGGATTGAAAGGAGGTGACTCCTGAGGCAATCAACGCCTCTTCTAACACCCCCAAGCTCAGTCCCTTCTTGGTTCCCAATTCCTGGGCCCTAGGCGAGCAGGTGCAGAGCATCCCTCCCGGACAGATGTCTTTCTGATCTCCACTGAGAGAAAACAGAACCGGAACCTGTTAGAGAACAGAGCTTGGAATACTGAGTTCCGCTCTCTACCATCACCGCCCCCCAATACCTCTTCCCCTTAGAGCTAGGACCCTGAAGCCATCCCCCTTAACTTTTTCGCTGATTAGTTTGTCCAGGGAACCATTTCCCAAGCCCAGAGCTGTGTCTGTTTTTAGAAGTAAAATATTTCCATAGTAACAGAGCCTGCCCTTGGAGCACGTGTGGAGAAGAGAGCTGGCAGCTTAGCAATGAACTATCAATAGATTCAGCCTGAGGACCCTGCAAAGATGTGAGACCTCAACAGGCTCCCCAAGAAATGCTGCTGGGGATACGCACCCCGACTTCTGGCCTCGACATCCATGCTGTTCCCTAGATTCAAAGAACAGGATGAATCCCTACAGGCCTGGGACCCTTCCGTGCTTCCTGAGGACTGGGAAAGGGTTGGGGGGTGTTCAAAGGCATCCTCATTCCCTGGGAGAGTTCTCTACGGAGTTCTTTGGCCCACAGTCCCTCAGGGGGGCAGGGCAGAAGGTGTTGACTAGCCTTGATCCTGATCCAGTTTGTTCTCTGAGGGATGAGCACAGAGCTAGGCACAACCAGCAGGTGTCTGAGTCAAAGCAGGTGCTGGAGCAGCCCTGGATCTCACTGTAAGAAACGGGGGCGTTGGGGCGGAAGTGGCTGAGATGCAGTTATCCTGTGACCCTGACCTGTTTGTGGTACCTGGAGTCCCAGAACCACAGAGGCTCCTGAAGCAAGGGTTTCTAGTCACCAGGGCAGGAGAGGAGAGAACTTGCAGTGGGCAGAGCAGCTAGGGCTAGGGGTAGCATCCCACAAGAGGTGGTCCAGGCCCAGTGATTCTCTGGAAAGACCATCTGCTCCCCAGAATGCCTCCATCGGCAACTCTGGGCCTCCAAGGCTCTCAGCCTTTAGTAGGCTTATTCCAGCCGCTCCAACCACTTGAGCACTTAGTTTTGTGCCGCCAGATTCTGGTTGGCAGTGCAGTACTTACTGCTCCCTATCTCCCTTGCCCAAGGAACAAGTGTCCCTCAATTGCTTGGCCCAAGCCACAGATAGGGTCCTGCAAGTTTCACAGGCCCGGACCCTCCAGAGCAGTCTCATGGTGAAGCATGTCTGGCCAATTGTCTGGTCATCGGTTGCAGAATGGGTTAGTTTTGCTCCTTAGGAGGTGCCTGGGATGCTTTAGCAGAGGCACCTCTGAGATACCTGATCTGTGGAGTCCAGCATGACATTTGAAGTGTGGCCCAGACCCAGGTGTTCACTGCTCCTGGCCATGGCAGTTACCACCTGGACAACAAAATCATTCAGATCAGGTGACAAGTATCCAAGTAAACATTTTCTGAGGTCACACATATACCTGAGTGATGAATACCTAGTTTTTGGCCTTTGAACAAACCCTCCCACCTGCTGAGATGTTGGGGATTGCTAATGATCTCTGAAGAAGAAAAAGACAGAACTTCCCAATGTCTGCCAGGGAAGGAAGACTCCTGCGGCTCAGTTTCTCCCTACAGAAAACAGACTGTCCCTGAGACCTTCAAGGAGGGTCTGCTCGCCTGCCTCTGATCAACCAGATAACCAGGCAGCACCTCCTCTGGGGACCCCACAAGCTCCTCCATTCCACCTGCTCCTGGCAGCTCTCTCCTACCTCTGAAGGCCCTTCCGTATTTATCACCTGCTGACGTCATTGGACTACAACTTCTGCCTCTGCTGTGTGCACCTGTTGCCCTCTGTGCCTCCTTCAGACTCAGCCGCCTTCCATGGATGATGCCTCCTACACACCATGTCCTTAGCCCTTCCCCCACCCTGGGACCAGAAGAAGGACAGCTGTGCAAAAACATGGGCCTCTAGGGAGTATCCAGTTTGAGAGGCACCTGTGACACAGACACACACACATAAATATACACACACACACAAAAACAAAACCCGGCAGAATGTTATTCTGTCAGTCACTGGGATTGTTTATGCACATGTTATTGTCCTTCTGTATCTACAGGCTCTGAATCTGTGGACTCACCACATGAAAACCACTACTTTCCTTGCCAGGTAGACTTATTTTATTTCTTGTCATCCTTCCCTAAACAGTGCACCATCACACTTGCTTACAATCGGTACATTGTATTCAATGATATTTGGAATCCAGAGACATAAAGTGTGCTGGAGGTTAGGTGAGAATACATCATCATTTTGTATAAGGGGGACTAGAGAATCCACATCCATAGATCTGAGGATTTTCATGTGGTGACAGAATCAATTCCTGAGGATAATGAGGGGATTTTATGCAGATCTTAGGTCACTTTCCAAAGCTCACAGAGAGGTTTGGGCTGTGGCATAGTAGGTAAAGCTGACACTTGTAGCACTAGCGTCAAGTCGGCTGTCCCACTTCTGATCCAGCTCCTTGTTAAATGTGCCTGGGAACGCAGCAGAGGATGGTCCAAACGCGTGGATCCCTGCGCTCATGTGAGTGACCAAGAAGAAGCCCCTGGCTCCTAGATTTGGACTAGCCCAGTTCCAGCCACTGCAGCCATTTGGAGAATATACCAACAGATGGAAATCCATCTCTCCCTCCTTTCTGTAAATGATATAATTTTCATATATAAATGAGTTTGATTCAATATAAATAGACATTATTAAAGAATTAAGAAAAAAAAGAAATAGAGGCCAGTGCGGTCATATAGCTGCTAATCCTCTGCCTGAAACATTGGTGTCCCATATGAGTACCAGTTCATGTCCCAGCTGATCCAACTCTCTGCTTTTGGCCTGTGAAAGCAGCAGAGGAGCAACAACAACACCACACACACATAAAGAAAACAGCAGAGGATGGCACAAGTGCTTGGACCTCTGCACCCAAGAAAAGAAACTCCTGGGTCCTGGCTTTGGATCAGCTCAGCTCTGGCCATTGTGGCCATCTGGGGGGTGAACCAGCAGATAGAAGATGGTTTTTTTCTCTCTCTCTTTTTAACAGGTTTTGGCTCATGTTCTGGAAGTCGTCCTTTTTTTTTTTTTTAAGAAGTTTCAATTTATTTTTATTGGAAAGGCAGATTTACAGAGAGGAGAGACAGAGAACGGTCTTCCATCTGCTGGTTCACTCCCCAAGCAGCTGCAATGGCCGGAGCTGAGTTGATACAAAGCTAGGAGCTTCTTCCAGGTCTCCTGCGTGGGTGCAGGGTCCCAAGGCTTTGGCCCATCCTCTACTGCTTTCCCAGGCCACAAGCAGGGAACTGGATGGGGAGTGGAGCAGCCGGCACTCATATGGGATCCTGGTGCATGCATGCAAGGTGAAGATTTAGCCACTAGGCTATTGCACCAGGCCCTGAAGAATCTTTGGAAGGACCTTGATGTCTATGCCTTTTATACATGTATGTTTCTTAATACTCTTATTTAGAGGTAAGGGCTATTTCATACTTTGATTTGAGATAAAAGACAAGCTATCTCTGACTCAAGGAGAGTTACCTTGACCTTTGATGCAGTGAACTGTTCTAGCTCCCAGACAGTAAACAGAGCCAGTCCCCCAGGGACCACCTCCAAAGACCAGCCTAACCTGCAGGACTGGGCAACAGCCAAGGGTGCAGTCTATCTACACACCGGGACAGGGCCATGCCTGACCAATTTTTTTTTTTTTTTTAACAAATTCAGTTTTGGTTATGAATTCATGCCCCATTTTCTCTCTTGTTCTGTGGCTCTTTCCCAACAGTCTCCTGAAAACCCCACATTCCTACTGGAGGACAAAGTGCCAGGCTATTTGAAGAGCCACCCTTTAAACTCCCCCTGTTTATTGCCTCTGTGCCTCTGAGAACGCGTGGAGGAATCAAGAGGCTGGGGCCTGTCACTGGCAAGGGAACAGGTGCCCAGCAAAAAGCACACAGTGACCTGGAAGAATAGCCTGACTGGGAGCCCCAATCCCTTAGGGCCATACAGGTGTGGATCTGCCTCTCCTGCCACCCAGCTCACGGCAATGGTACAGCCTCTATCTCCCGCTTCTCATTTTGGAAAATTGGCTCAAAACAGGGATCCAAGGCCAAGTTAAAACCCCGGGGTAAAATCCGAGACCGGAGGTTGCTACGAGCCCTTTTCAGTGGGAAGTGCCGCGCTGGGTTGCCTGGCAACTAACTGCTACCGTGGGAGGTTGAGGGACCGAGCACCTGGATCAAGGACTAGAGAAACAGGATGGGAGGGGCTTTTCTGGTATTTACGACTTAAAATAGCCACGATCCTTCCAAATAGTAGTAGCGTTTCCGGGAAATGACTTATGTTTACCTTGGTTTCAGACTGCATTGGCTACAGGTTTCCTTATCAGAAGCGAGCGTGTCCTCGCACCCTCGTCCCTCCCGCCCAACCCCTTGCTCCCAGTAGCCATCTTCGTGGCTCCAGAGGCAACGAGGCTTAAGCATTGGGGGGAGGGGGAAGTGGCCCTTTAAACGCGACCTGCAGAGGTCAGGGGAACTAACACTGACGTGGAACCGGGGAGTAGGCGCTGCCCGACACGTGATGTCAAGGGGCGTTCATTTTGGAATCGGGCAAGAAATCAGGGTTCTGCGTCGTTAATAGGCTGTTAGAGAAGTATTCGCTCTTGTTCCTGCTTTTTCGGTTACTTCACCGGTACTCTCGGGATGGCTCTAGCGTCAAAAAAACATAACATTTCTAAAGTAACGCTTTTGGCACCCTCTAGTGCCCGTAACAAAAATGGCGACTACCGCCTCCCGCAGCAAGTTGTTCTGCGAAGTAGCGCCGGGCGGAAACAGGCGAGAGGCAGGTGTCGCAAGACAGAGCCCGGGCTGCTATATAGGAGCTCTCCACGTCCTGGGGCGGCTTGAGTCCGAGTTGTGGGGTTTGTTGTGGCTGGTTGTGGCCCGTTCTTGCTGCGGAGGCCTCCGGGCTGCACTCCGGCGTGCCAGTTTTCTCAGGGGCCGGTGGAGCGGGGCCCTGGCCGCTCACCATGTGGGCCTTCCCGGACTTGCCGATGCCGCTGCTAGTGAACTTGATGGGCTCCCTGGTGGGGTTTGTGGCCACCCTCACTCTGATCCCAGCTTTCCGTGACCACTTCATCGCCGCGCGTCTCTGTGGCCAAGACCTCAATAAATCCAGCCGGCAGCAGATGTAAGCAGCGGTGCACGGTCCCGGGCTGGGTAGGAACAGGGGGTGCAGAGGAACGCTGGGTGGGCAGGGCAGGGGCGGGCACCGAGTTAACCTGCCAGGCAGCCCAGGACTCTGGTTAGCCACGGGGACGGGTGAGGGGGTGTGCCCTTAGGTTAATGGGAGGGAGGGGGGACTCCGGCAGTGGCGCATTCCTTCTCCACAACCCCCCCCCCAATTAAAAAGATACTGGGACGAATAAGACCCCTGGGGTCACTGTCACCCCTGCCCCGGTGAGTGACCACGCCCCCTTTCTTCTTCCTCTTCCATGGTTGTTTTTGGGGTGCAGCCCAGAGTCCCAGGGAGTGATCAGTGGCGCCGTCTTCCTTATCATTCTCTTCTGCTTCATCCCTTTCCCCTTCCTGAACTGCTTCGTGGAGGGGCAGTGTAAGGCTTTTCCTCATCACGAAGTAAGTGGCTTAGTGGAGGCCCTTGCCTGGGGCTGGGGCCTGAACGAGTGGCGGGTTTGTGGGGTGGGATGGGGAGAGGCTGGAGCCTGGGCCTGCCCGAGCCTCCCCCAGTTTGTGGCCATGATAGGTGCCCTCCTTGCCATCTGCTGCATGATCTTCCTGGGCTTCGCGGATGACGTGCTCAATCTGCGTTGGCGCCACAAGCTGCTGCTGCCCACAGCTGCCTCACTGCCCCTCCTCATGGTCTACTTCACCAACTTTGGCAACACCACCATCGTGGTCCCCAAGCCCTTCCGTCTGCTCCTTGGCCTTCATCTGGACTTGGGTGAGAAGTGCTCCTAACTTGACACCTGTTTCAGAGCGCCCCCTAGCCCTGCGCCAGCTCCCGGAGCATGCTTCTTGGTGCTCCACATTCTCCAGCACCCCTCCTCAGTCCTTCCTGCGCCTCCTTGGTTGCTTTCTGGTGGCCCTTCATCCTGTCTCCTGTCCTTGCCTCCTCCTACCCTGGGCAGTAACGGGACTTCTCTTTTGTGTCCCTCCCACCAGGGATCCTGTACTATGTCTACATGGGACTGCTGGCTGTGTTCTGTACCAATGCCATCAATATTCTAGCAGGAATTAATGGCCTGGAGGCTGGACAGTCATTAGTCATTTCGGCCTCCATCATTGTCTTCAACCTGGTGGAGCTGGAAGGTAGGTAGGTAGGTAGGTAGGTAGGTAGGTGGGGATTGGGACAGGGAGAGAGAAAAGTCTTGAATGTGAAAGGAGTTGCCTGGTACGGAGCTTGGAGGAGTTTAGAAAACGGCAATGGGTGTATAACTAGAGAAGATAAGGAAGCCATTTATGTGGCAAATAATAACAAGTTATTAACCATGAAAAAGAAATGGCAGCCGACAGCCAGGCTATGATCTGTTGAACAGCATCATGGCACCCGCTCGTCAACATCCCGCAGGTTACTCTGTGACGATGGTAGAGCAACACAAAAGCCAGACCCCTCTGATGTCATCTGAGTGCAGGTGAAACCACAACACCGAGATCCCCTCTCCTGGACTAACGTGGCAGACTGCTGCTGCTTGCTTTTTTGGTAAGATTTATTTTTATTGGAAAGGCAGATTTACAGAAAGAAGGAGAGACAGAGGGAGACTTCCATCCAGATTCTTGCCACTAAATGGCCACAATGGCCAGAGCTGGGCCAGTCTGAAGTCAGGATCCAGGAGATTCTTCCAGGTTTCAGAGTCCCAAGACTTTAGGCCATCCTCCACTGTTTTCCCAGGCCACAAGCAGGGAGCTGGGTGTGAAGTTGAGCAGCTGGGACAGGGATCAGTTGCCCATACAGGGTGCTGGCACTTATAGACAGATGATTAGCCAGTTGACCCATTGTGCCAGCCCCTACTGTTTTCTAATTACTCAGCCATCCTGCTTGTTCAATACAAATTAAGATGATCAATGATAAATTTACTGCCTCCTGATGGCATCCAGACTAGAACAAATGAAGACTGCCTTGCAACCTCTTCAGTCACTCAAAGCACACCCTGTAACAAGCCCTTCCCACACCCCTTCACTGGAAGCAATCTGTGGTTCCAGCCTTGTTGCAAGACAGTAAGGCCGGTTTTGCTGATGGGCATGTTTCAAGTGCTCGCGGGCTGATGGGCAACTGCAGTACTTTAAATCTTATAGCAGCTCTGTGTGACAAGGTCATTGTCAGCCCTGTTTTCCAGATGGGGAACCTGAGGCTAGGAGGAGTTAAGTGTGTCATGATCAAGGTCAGACAGCTAGGATGCATAGCTGGTATTTAGACCTCAGTCAAAAATGGTCTAAGCTCCTCATAGCATGCTCCATATCACAGACCCCTGGGATGACATCAGGTGGTCGTCCCCCATCTGTGGGTACTGATGTGATTGGGATACTGGGTGTAGCTGCTCTTCTCTTCTCCCCACTGTCCACAAATACAGGAAGCAGAAAAAATTGGAAACGATGGTCTCATTCACTTTCCCTTATTCCTCAACCCTTCCCACCCTAATCAGTGGTGCACGTAGGCATGCATCCTTTTCAACTAAGTAAACATCCAAAATAAACTTTAAAAAACAAAAACAAGGGCCCGGCACAGTAGCCTAGTGGCTAAAGTCTTCACCTTGAACACACCGGGATCCCATATGGGTGCAGGTTCTAATCCTGGAAGCCCTGCTTCCTACCCAGCTCCCTGTTTATGGCCGGGAGAGCAGTCGAGGACAGCCCAAGGCCTTGGGATCCTGCACCTGCGTGGGAGACCTGGAGAAAATACCTTGCTCCTGGCTTTGGATTGGCGCAGCACCAGCTGTTGTGGCTGCTTGGAGAGTGAATCATAGGATGGAAGAGCTTCCTCTCTGTCTCTCCTCTTCTCGGTATATCTGACTTTGCAATAAAAATAAATAAATCCTTAAATAAAAATGAGAAATGGTCTAATCTAAATTGAAGACAGGTATCCTGGAGGAAGAGGGAATGTAGGAACTGCCTAGGTGACATTAAAGGGAAAGTGGGTTCTGGAGAGTACCTTGGGCAAGACACCTGATACAGCTCAGGAGACAGACTGAACCAGGACCAAGGTATTTAACTTTCCTTCTTTCTTTTCCTCCCGCTCTCCAAGGTGATTATCGGGATGATCACATATTTTCCCTGTACTTCATGATCCCCTTTTTCTTCACCACCTTGGGATTGCTCTACCATAACTGGTAAGTTAGTCCATGGATAAGGTCAGGATAGACCTGCTCCTAACCCAGCTACTGGGGAAAGGACAAAACCTGTGCACAGCTGTACTGCAGATTTTCTGGATCTTCAGTTGATAGCATTCCAACATCCCTCTGTACCCAGCAGAAGTTGGGGAGGGATTCTGCAGGATCCCTAAAAATAGAGGAATTCAGGGCCGTGGGTGCTGTGGCATTGCTGGGGAAGCTGGAATCTGCTCTGAGTCAGTGCCCAGTGCCCACAGAGGGGACGTGAAAGGAAGGACTGGCAATGCCTGTTGCTACTAGCGCGAACCCTCTTCTCCCACACAGGTACCCATCCCAGGTGTTTGTGGGAGATACCTTCTGTTACTTTGCTGGCATGACCTTTGCCGTGGTGGGCATCTTGGGACACTTCAGCAAGACCATGCTACTCTTCTTCATGCCCCAGGTGTTCAACTTCCTCTACTCTCTGCCTCAGCTCCTGCATATCATCCCCTGCCCTCGCCACCGAATACCCAGGTAGCAGCTTTGGGAGCTTTAGAAGGGCCTCATAGTCTTTCACTAGGGATGGCTAAAGCCAGTGCATCCCTTTGCTGAGCAAAGAGAATGGATGCAAAGAAGGGTTAACTCTTCCCATGCAGTTCACCTGTCATAATTTTTTTTAAAGATTTATTAATTTTTTTTATTACAAAGTCAGATATACAGAAAGGAGGAGAGACAGAGAGGAAGAGCTTCCATCCCTTGATTCACTCCCCAAGTGACCACAATGGCCAGAGCTGAGCCGATATGAAGCCAGGAACCAGGAACCTCTTCCAGGTCTCCCACAGGGGTGCAGGGTCCCAAAGCTTTGGGCCGTCCTCTACTGCTTTCCCAGGCCACAAGCAGGGAACTGGATGGGAAGTGGAGCTGCCGGGATTAGAACCGGCACCCATATGGGATCCCAGTAGGTTCAAGGCGAGGACTTTAGCCGTTAGGCCATGCCGCCGGGCCCTCACCTGTCATAATTCATGCAGCCATCACATAACCTCCTTTAATGCTCACAGCGGTTTAAGTAACACCATAGTGAGCAGAGCCCGACATTGCTGTGGTCATCTCGCCCCACAGTCAGAGCTCTTCCTATCCATGAGCACAGTGGGAGAGCGTTGAGTAGTGGCTCAGTCACATGAAGCTGTCTTCCCCCTGCAGACTCAATACCAAGACAGGCAAACTGGAGATGAGCTATTCCAAGTTCAAGACCAAGAGCCTCTCTTTCTTGGGCACCTTTATTTTAAAGGTAACAAGGTAACAAGGAGGTAAGGCCCTAGGCCACCATCCTGAACTTGGGGGAACTGGGAACCTGGACCCACATCAGATACCAGGGGTGCTTGGAAACATCTGTGCAGATCTGTGTCGCTGAAGCAGAGGCATCAGCTGCAATCCTCTCTCTGCCTCTGTGCCCTCAGGTCGCCCGGAAGCTGCAGCTTGTGACAGTGCACCAGAGCCAGAACGAGGAGGGCGACTTCACCGAGTGTAACAACCTGACCCTCATCAACTTGCTGCTTAAAGTTTTTGGGCCCCTACACGAGAGGACCCTCACCTTGCTCCTGCTGCTGTTGCAGGTGAGGGTGGGAACGGGGTCCCATACTCCCTTGTCTCTCTCGATGGTTCTCATTCTAGTCCTTTTCTCTCGCAGATCGTGGGTAGTGCTCTCACCTTCTCCATTCGGTACCAGCTCGTCCGTCTCTTCTATGATGTCTGAGTCTCCTAGTCGTTGGCCTGTGACCTCATAGTCGCCAGGGGTCCTGACCTAACTGACCTCTGTGTGGACCAAGCTGCCTCCTGGCCCAGATGCCTCGGCATTTTCCCTCGCCTGAGATAATGGACATCGGGGCCTTTCTTGCTCCCTACTGACTGTTGATTAGACTTCCTGTGGTTTCCGCCAGTAGGCCACTCGGTCCTGCCATCCCATCTTTGCAGTTGGCTGAGTTGGGCTTCAGCAACTTTTATGCAGTCACCCACAGCTCAACTCCCAGGGACCTGACTCTGACCCCAGGGACACTCTGGGCCGTGGGAGAGGACCTGGGCCGGAAGTTGGCTTGACTTTTGACTATCAATTAAGTATTCTGATTAGTAAGGGCAGAAGGGGGGAGACCAGATGCTCCCAATAATGACAATAAAGTGTTGTCTTTTTTTTGTTGGTTTGTTTCTTAGCATTTTAGGATACACAGGGAAAGCTGATGGAAAGCTACCTCCAAGAAGATGCCTTTCACTCTGTCAGACTGTTTTTTTCTTGTTCAAGGTAGTCCTCTTAATGGAGCCTGATTTTTTAAAATTTATTTTTCATTTGAAAGGCAGAGTTAGTGCAGAGACAAATCTTTCATCTGCTGGTTCACTCCCCAATGGCAGGTGCTGGCCGGGAGGGGTGAAGGCTGCGGGCAGAGGTTTAACCTGTCAGCCCCGATGTGGGCCCTCTATTGACCGGTTCTAGCAAGAACCACAACTGAGACCTGACAGAAATGCTGAGGAAATAGGAGAAACCTGACACTTCAGGGGACAAACCCGTAGTGTCCTCGGATGGGAGTTGTCCTCTGACACAGGGTCGGCCTTACGTCCGTTTTTCACTATCCTTTTGCCTGTTTGGAGGGTCGAGCGGGCCCGAACGCGGAGACACGGCGGAGGCCACCAAAGCGCGGAGTCCTCCCGGCGAGAAGCCCGAGGCTGCACACGCTCGGGCTCCGCCCCTTCCGTCTTCCGGTTCTAGTCTCCGCCTGTAACCTTTAAATCTCGCGCGCTCTACGCGGATTGGCTGCGTCGGGGGAGGTTGGTCGACCAAGTGTCCGCACGCCGCCTCGCCGTCCAGCCCGGGCAAGTGGCTTTCAAATCTGGCCAATCAGCGGACGCGCTCCCTCAGCTGAATCACGTCATCGAAGGGTTAACCTCAGCCAACCGGAGGCGGGCACTAGGAAAAAGAACCAATCGAAAGCGCGCAGGGGGCGTGTCCTGGGGGCATATAAGGGCAGCGCCGGCGCGCGCGCGCCGACAGTTGGACTGCGGCGGTTGGCCGTTGGGTCCTGCTCCCGGACGTCCTTTTTTTTTTTTTTTTCCCCCCTCTTGTTCTACCTCGCTCATCATGTCTGGCCGCGGCAAGACCGGCGGGAAGGCCCGCGCCAAAGCCAAATCGCGCTCCTCGCGTGCCGGCCTGCAGTTCCCCGTGGGCCGCGTCCACCGGCTGCTGCGGAAAGGCCACTACGCCGAGCGGGTGGGCGCCGGCGCGCCGGTCTACCTGGCGGCCGTGCTCGAGTACCTGACGGCCGAGATCCTGGAGCTGGCGGGCAACGCGGCCCGCGACAACAAGAAGACGCGCATCATCCCCCGCCACCTGCAGCTGGCCATCCGCAACGACGAGGAGCTCAACAAGCTGCTGGGCGGTGTGACGATCGCCCAGGGAGGCGTCCTGCCCAACATCCAGGCCGTGCTGCTGCCCAAGAAGACCAGCGCCACCGTGGGGCCCAAGACGCCTTCGGGCGGCAAGAAGGCCACCCAGGCCTCGCAGGAGTACTGAGGGCCCCGCGCCGCGCCACCACACAAAGGCCCTTTTAAGGGCCACCACCTGTGTCACGGGAAGAGCTGAGCCGCGTGGGCCGCGGCGCCCGGCCTCCCCCTCCCCTCGCCGTCCTGCAGGCTCCCCGGGTCGCGCTCGTGACTCAGCCGGCCCGGCCTCGGGATCGCCGCAGCGCCCGCTGCAGGACGGCGGGCCGAGTCCCCCGCGGCCGCCAGCCCCACGGTGCGTGCCCGCCCTCGCGTGGGCGCCTCGGCCCAGGACTTGGGAGACTGTTCGGCGCGGCCGGACTGGCGAGCAGCTTCCCGCTGGGGGGTTCCCTGTGTGTCCGCGTGCGACTCCCTACCCGCCCCACGCTCCCGGACACCAGCACACGTCGGTGACTCCCCGTCTGGATCGCCTAGGTTGGCTTCAGACTGAAATCGGTGCAGCTAACTCGTCTCGGACTAGAACCTAGAGGTGGGGGAGGAGGGGCCAAATGGACTAATTTTGTTTATTAAAAGTTTTTTTTTTAAACAGTGTCTGTTGATTTTGTTCAAATTGTCGGGTTGCCCACTTAGTTGTCGACAGCAGAGGTCGAGGGGTGGAGGGCTCGGCTGATTGAAGCAGGCTCAGCTGAAACTGGATGGGATTTCAGGATCACGGATGGCTGTTCTCAGCCACTGGAGGCAGGAACCAGGACTGGTCCAGAGTGCAGCCTCAGAAGTAATAGTTAAAGGGATTTGTACTTGCTGAGATGGCTGCCAAGCCCCACCACAAAAAAGACCACCTTCAGAGCTGGTTTATTAGTAGAATTGGTTACATTCAAAGGCTGTGGGTTGGATTTTTTTTCTGTAAGAGATGAAGGCCCCATTCACCAGGACCCCACAAGGTGACCACTCGGGCACCTTGGGGAGGCAGATCGCTGGAAGTGTGGAACCACCCTGCAGTTCAGTTTGCAGAACTCGTCCCAGAGGGCCCGAGTAGGCACTGGAGAGCAGCAGCCCAGACACCTGGGTCCCACAGGTCCTTCAGTGGGCATCATTCAATTGCCGGGCAACATCCAAAATGTTCTTGGCTCCTTTGTTCAGTAGCAAGTTGGCTAGGCTGATGCCCAGGTTCTCAGCAGCCACCTGGGGTCCGCGTGGAATGTTCCGGGCCGTGATGCCTACCAGCTGTTGATCATCCTCGGGGCCATCTACGTGCTGGAGGAGGAGAGGATGTGGGGTTTGGGGAGGACCAAATGCAAGGTGACTGGTCCCCCTGTCATTTTTCCCTTACCCTCCAGCCTTCATACCTGGGCAGGGACCTGGATGGTGGCCTGCATGGTCTCCTGCATGCTATCGGACCCATCCAGACTCCAGACTCCTCCAGTCATGTACAGCTGGGAAAGAAGATGGCTGCCTCAGCCTAATCTTGGGGGACCCCTTAGCTGGGGCTCACAGGGGGAAGCACCATCACCCTTTCTGCCCGACCCCTGCTTACCTGCCCATCCTTCATGGTTGTATGCACTGCTACTGGCACACTACAGCCTCCTTCCTGCCAAGACAGGTTCCCGTGAACACCAGTGGCCTCCAACCCAGGGCCCTGAGACCACATCTCAGACCTGAGGACAACTGAAGGGACAGCTGCTGGCCCAGATCCGGCTCCTCCCACACACAGCAGCCAACAGGTTAGCCCTATGTCTGTTTAGCACTGCTGTTCCCAGTCCCCACCTCTCCACAGGGGAGCCCATCCCTACCAGGTGCTTCAGAAAGGCCCTTTCGGCAATGCAGCAAAGCAGTGTCTCGGGATCATGCAGCACAGCCACCAGATCCAAGATATCCTGGTCCTTGGCTCGCACTTCCACACCCAGGGCTCCCTGGTGGAAAATACCGCCCAGGCCTTCAGCACTCTATGGAGCTGAGGCGGGGATGCATTCCCTTCCCCATCTCCCCAGGGCCTTCCAGATCGGAGCAGCACCCCAGCCAAAGCCCTCGCTGAGGATTTTGTTTTGGGGAAAGCAGAGGCAGAAGTATGTGAGCCCAGCTCCTTGGCTGAACACAAAGGAAGAGGCTCACTAAGATGCAGCTGTCCCTGCTCCCCCATCAGGCCTACCTGGCCCACAGCGTACATGCATTCCTCAGGCCGCAGGATCTGTGAAGAACAAGTGGGTGTTAGGGAGCTTGAAGGCCCCCAACAGCAGTGAGGAGCTTGAATGCCTGGATAGGCACATTTGTTAAGTCTGGTGCCAGCCTGGAACCCATGTCCAAGCTGACAGTGCCACATGTAGGGGGGTCGATCAGGGAGAGCATTCAGATAAGAGCATTCAGATAAGAGCATTCAGATAAGAACTGGGGGGAGGCAAGGGGAAGCAGGTGGGCCGTACCTGCCCTACCCGGTTGTGCCAGCCCATGCGCTGCAGGCCGGCCACAGCCAGGATGATGGCACTGAACTCCTGCTGCTCGTCCAGCTTCCGAAGCCGGGTATTGAGGTTTCCCCTCTGTGGAGAGCTGCTAAGGACAATCAGAAGCCTCCTGCTGGCCCTCCTGCTGACTTTTACTCGCCTCCCTGTCACACGTGATAGCCGTCCAAAGTGCTTCCATGGTCCAACCCGTTTCATCTCACAAGCCTAGGAGGCAGGTGTTATTATTCTCCCAAGTTTACAGATGAGAGCAGTGATGAATTAAATAACCTACCAAAGGTTAACAAAACATTTGAAAAGCCTCCCCTAAACCCTAACACTGTGTTTCAATGTTCCACCCAGAAGCTTCCAGAAAATTCTCTGTATGTTCCCAGTGGGACATTCAGCACATAATACTAATTTTTAAATGAGCTCTAGGAAATGATATATCCAGTGTAAGACGCAAGGCAAGATAGTAGCATAGATGCCAAATATGGAAGCACCTTCGAAACCTCCCACCATTGCTCAGTATTGTTCTGAACACCTCATGCCCACCTTTGTCTCCAAAACTAAAATGTCCATTCTGTACAAGCAGGGACAATGTTAATGTTACTCACTAAAGCTAGTGTCAGGCTTTTGCCTGGGGCTGAGAAAACCTTAAAGGACAGCTGAGGGGGTGGGGGAAGGACAGATGGCTCACTGCCCCCAGGGGCCACCTGCCCTACCACTGTGACATTCTCTCAGCCCTCGGGACAGTGTCTTCTTCCATGGCTGCTGCTCCTCTCTCCTAAAAGGATACAATACTCTTGAACTCCAGATGGGGGAACTTTCTCTGCAGCTGGGCTGCTCTCCGCAGGGAGCTGGTCCCCACGACACTGCACAGAGAGAAAGGGTTCGGAATGAGACCTAGCACCTTCTCTCAGCCCCGAGTCCCTCCACCTCTGATGCACATTCCACAAAGATGCCTGCGCAAACCTCACTGACCTCCTCTCTGGCAAGGTCTCTAGAGTCTTCCCAATAAATTTGGGGTGAAAGACAACAGCATCATAGGGATTCTCCCGCCTAGGTAAGAAAAGAAAGGACAGAGAATAAGGAAGAGTTGTCAGTTCTACTCTCTCTCAATTAGTCACCTCACTGGTGTTAGCATGTTCCTCCATGCTCAACACTCCTTGGGGCAGGGGCGAGAGCTCAGCCTCCAAGGGGAGGTCAAAGCTGCCAGGAGGCCAGCACCCAGCCCGGGCCCCTTCACCACACACTTACTTGCAGATGGCTCCGATCGTGAAACCAGGAGGAAGCACAGTGGGCAGATCCTTCAGGGAATGAACAACCAGGTCCACTCTAGAGAAGGTGGTTAGGGGTGGAGGCAGCAAGGGCTCAGGGCCTAAGCAGCTGGCCCCAGACTTTTCTCTCCCATCCCTACCTCTCCTCTGGCAGTATGGCCTAGGACAGCACAAAGTCAGGCTTTCCAAGCCCTCAGAACCCTGGCATCTGCTCTCTCCCCAACTTCCCTCCCATTCCAGCAGTGCCTTCTACGCAGCTCGCCTCCTTCTCAGGCAGCCAGATGGCTTAGACCCAGGGTGCTCTCCTTCTCTGAAGCCCGAAGCAGCACTCCCAGGACCCCCCACAGCCCATCTGAGCCTGGCTGACATCAGGGCTGTAGTTCACAGGGGTCCCAGTGTGACAGGTGGGTGTCCCACATGTCCTATTGTCAACTTACTCATCCTTCTCCAGGGCAAGTTCCAGTTCCTTGGTGAACAGGCTCTTCTCCCCAATCTGCCAAGCAACAATTGAGTCAAGGAATGCCTCTCTTAGGGGAAAAGGAAGACGAGCCGGGGAACAGGACTTGGGGGTGGAAGTTGTTACCTTGGAGAGTGCAGTATCAAGAATCTTGTCCCCAGTGGTGGACATAGCAACTGAGGAGACAGACAAGCAGGTGACCACAGGTCAGCATTTACGGAGTTCAACCCTGGGCTAAGTTCACAGAGGGGCTAAGGGCACACCAGCCTCAGTTCCTGCCCTCTGGGAATGTCCCACCCAGCAGGAAGGTTGGACACACCCAGAAAGATGCACAGCAAGGAAGCTCAATGTTAGACTAGCCCAAGTAGTCCGAGTTAGAGATGTTAATGGGGGGTAGCCAAGAGCAACTCTTGGTGGCAGTGCATGGCCAAAAAATCCATGCTCTGCCCTCTGGTCTCATGGACTGACTGCCTATCACCTCCCATTCTTCTTTAGAAAACTCACTGATGTCAAACTGTAGGCCGGGGTATAAGGCTTTCAGCGTCGCCACCACACTATCCGTCTGTATGCGGGCCAGCTGGGAGCAGAGATTTCAATTAGTCTTGTCCTTGCCCTGATCCCCAACCCCATCTCCTATCTCCTATCTCCATAGCACCAGGAAGACACTGGAGGATTGCCATTCTCACCTGGGAATGAGGAAGGCTTCGCCTGGGGGTGCTCTGCACTCCAACTTCTCCCACAGCCCAAGGCCCATCTCTCTGCCAAGCCCCAAGAAGGTAATGGCCCACCCACTAATTCCTCTGTGGCAAACTTGCCACAGTGCAAGCAGCACCAATCTTCTGACCTAACCACATCTGCACTCACCTGGCTCTTACGGGTGCCCACTCGAATCACTCTCATCTTTGGGCTGTTTTCTTCCTGTAGACAGAGTCCTCAGGTCACGGTCCCCTCTGCTCCTTAGCATCCAAGGACCAGAACCACTGGTTTGGAAGAAGGGAGCCGCAGCACCAGGCCTTTGGCCAGCTGGATCTCAGAGTGGGGAAATGCAGCAAGAATGGCCCCCCACTTTACCTTCCTCAGCCCCTTCTGCCTGCTCAGGGAGCCAAAGGAGTGGTGATGAGAAGGCAGTGAGAGTAGCACCTGCTCTCACTGCTATGCTGTAGCTGGAACACACTGCGCCCCAAAGGCCAGGCCGGCTGGGGCAGCTCACTGTGGGAGTGCTGTGCATGGCCAGGTGGACAGGAGAGATAGGCCCATCAGCCTGGCTCCAGGGAGGGTGGAGCTGGCCAGGCCAGGGTCGTGGGGGCCACAAAATAAACAATGCTGAGTCATGGGAGAGGTTTACTGTCCACCGCAGAGCAGCACTTGAGAACGCTACCAAGAGCTACTCCACACTGCAGGGTCCTTCCTGGCCGAATGTGCATGCTGAGGACTGGGCTCAACAGATGGAGCAGACAACCCGAGCCCAGCCTCGGGGACTATCCCATCACCGCCTGCTTGTGGGCTTGTAAAATGAAGAGGTCTAACCCCAAGTTTCCTTGGACCCACACATGCTCTGGAACCACAAGGCTGAACTGCCCGATGTCACCCTCACCCTCCCGCCACCCTGTCCCTAATGTTACCCAACTGTGTTGACAGGGAAATGCTGTCAGGGCAAAGATTCAAACACACCCCCTGCCAAATGCCAGGGAATCCTGGACAAAGGTGCCTGGTGCCAAGCAGGTTGGATGGGGTTGGTCGACATTCTTTCTACTTCAGTCAACAACCACTATATACAATGTCAATGCCCCCTGCTATGGGCTCCTCTTCCTATGCAGATCTTTGGCAGCCAGACATCCGGGACCTCTGCTGCTTACTACTCTGTGACTCTGCTCTACAGCACTGTTCCTCTGGTACCTCATTTGCAAATCAGGCTGAGGCTTAACATGCTAACCACGGCCACTAAATTCTGGGCCACAGGGAACCCTGGCAAAGAACTTGGGTTCTGGAACTGCCAAGTTCAAACAACCTTTTTTCTTTTAAAGATTTATTTTATTTTTATTGGAAAGTCAGATATACAGAGAGGATGAGAAAAAGAGAGGAAGATCCTCTGTTGATTCACTACGCAAGCGGTCACAACAGCCAGAGAGCTGTGCTGATCCAAAGCCAGGAGCCTGGATCTTCCTCCATGTCTCCTTCACGGGTGCAGGGTCCCAAGGCCTTGGGCCGGCCTCGACTGTTTCCCCAGGCCACAAGCAGGGAGCCGATGGCATGTGGGGCCACTGGGCACCAATGCCCAAACGGGATCCCAGTGCGTGCAAGGGAAGGACTCCAGCCACTAGGCTACCATGCTGGGCCCTCAAACGACTTTGAAGCTCAGAGCATCTGCATAACCTATTTGACTGAACTGTTTTTCCAAAAGAACTTAGGCAGGATGAAGATGCTACAGCTAATTGCTTTTGCATATTATTGCTGTCGTGTGCCTATCAGCGAATATGCCACAGGAACACAGGCTGGCTCTAAGGGCTGAGGTGACTTACTTAACGGGGCAGGCTGCAGCTGGGGTCCAGATCTTCTTAGTTCAATAGCTAAAAACCTCATTCCTCACCAACAGGCTGGACCAGCAGATAAGCAACTGCCCCATCTCCGGCTTATCTCCGGTCTGCACGGGCCTCCGCGGTTCAGTGGTTAGCGTACTCATCAGCCCTTAGCCCCATAAAGCAAGCCAGGAATCTTGAGACGCCCACAGGCGTCTCCACCCTACTCCGTCGTGGTAACTCAGTGATGTGTCTCACTGTGGGAGTAGGCTGGGACTGAGCGGAAAAGCAGAGAAGCCCCACTTCCAAAACATAGGGATGCAGTTCGGAGACTGCGCTCCTCTCCAAGTCTTAAGTTGCAACAGGCTCTGAGGTGGCTGCATCGGGACCGGCCTCGACCGTAGACAAACGTTCCCCCGGTGCAGCCTGAGTCACTAGTTTTGTATCCCAGGCCTGGCAGGCATCCCACCCATACGCCGACAAGGGTGGGCAGCATGAATCGATCCTACTGCTCTGAAACCAGCCCACCGCTGACTCATTTCTGCCTTGCCTTTCCACAGGCAACGTAGCTACTTGCCCTTTAAAAAAAAAAAAAATTCTAGACACCTCCCCCCCATGACGGACGGCCATCCTGGCCAATAGACGTCGGGGACGACCAGCAGCGACCAATCCATTGCAGGCTCGTCCGGAAGCCCGAAGTTAAGCGGGTCACCGACTCGGGACTCACCGTGGCTGCAGTCCTTGCAGCCGCGTCGCCGTTTCCGTTGCCGTTGCCAGCCATGGCTCCGCTCCCCAAGGAGGCCAGGGCTGTCGCCAAGGGCTCCCGGGTCCGGGGAAGCCGTGGGCCCCGGCCGGCGGGAAGCCGGGGCACGTGGAGCCCCAGCCCGTGCTGCGGCCTCAGACTCGGGGCCCGCAGGGAGCCGCGGGTCACTTCCGGTGCCCGCCTTCGGAGCGAGGCCCCTCCTCCAGGCGGGCCTGCCCCTCCCTCGGCTGCGCCGGCCTTGAGCGCCCGCCTGTGCCCCATGTGCCCGCCTGCGCGCCTTGCGCCCGCCGACTGCCCTGTGCCCACCGCACGCCTGCGCCCCGTGCACCCGCCGACTGCCCTGTGCCCACCGCCCGCCTGTGCCCCTTGCGCCCGCCGTCTGCTCTGTGTCCAACACCCGCCTGTGCGCCCGCCGTCTGCTCTGTGTCCAACACCCGCCTGTGCGCCCGCCGCCTGCCCCCCTGTGCCCGCCGTCTGCTCTGTGTCCAACACCCGCCTGTGCGCCCGCCGTCTGCCCTGTGCCCACCGCCCGCCTGTGCCCGCCGTCTGCCCTGTGCCCACCGCCCGCCTGTGCCCCTTGCGCCCGCCGCCTGCTCTGTGTCCAACACCCGCCTGTGCGCCCGCCGCCTACCCAGTGCCCCCACCGTCTGCCCTGTGCCCACCGCCCGCCTGCGCCCCTTGCGCCTGCCGTCTGACCTGTGTCCACCGCCCGGCTGTGCCCCTTGCGCCCGCCGTCTGCCCCGTGCCCACTGCCCGCCTGTGCGCCGTGCGCCCGCCACCGACCCTGTGCCCCATGCGCCCGCCTGAGCCCCGTGCGCCCTGTGCCCGCCGCCTGCCGTGTGCCCACCGCCCGCCTGTGCCAGGCCAAGGGCGGCCTTCCGCAAGCAGGTAGTAAGCTCATAGAAAGAAATGGAAATCTTGCTTAGGGGCCACCTTCAGGAAGCAGTGCCTCAGCTGGCATCTGGAGCAGACCGAAAGCCCCGAATTTGTGCTGCTTCCCATCACATTCCTGCACAGTGCACCAGTGAGAGCAGAGGATGGAGTTTCTGGCTCCCGGCTTTGGCCCAGCACTGGCTGCAGCCTCTTGGCATGTGAACCCGCAGAAGGAAGCACTTTCTTTTTATGTCCTCTCTCTGTAATTTGCGTTTCAAATTATTTTATTTTTTAAAGATTTATTTTTAGTGGAAAGTCAGATATACAGAAAAGAGGAAACAGAGAAGTATCTTCAAGCTGCTGATTCACTCCCCAAGCAGCAGCAACGGCTGGTGCTGAGAGATCAGGAGCCAGGAGCCAGGAGACTATTCTGGGTCTCCCACAGGGGTGAAGAGTCTCAAGCTTTTGGGCTGTCCTTAATTGCTTTCCCAGGCTGCAAGCAGGGTGCTGGATAGAAAGTGGGGCTGCCAGGATTAGAACCGGTACCAACATGGGATCCCAGCATGTGCAAGACAAGGACTTTAGCTGCTAGGCTACTGCGTTGGGCCTTCAAATCATTTTTTAAAATTCATGTCTTGTATTGGAAAGGCAGGTTTACAGTAGGAAGGAGACACAGAATGATCATCTATCTGTCTGCTGGTTCATTCCCCAAACGGGCACAACAGCAAGAGCTGAGCTGATCCCACCGGCATCCCGGAGCTTCTGGTTCTCCCATGCAGGTTCAGGTTCCCAAGGCTTTGGGCATCCTCCTCTGCTTCCTAGCCAGGGAGCTGGATGGGAAATGAAGCAGCTGGGACACAAACCAGCATGTTGGCATTTGCAGTTGGAGGATTAGCCAATTGAGCCATCATGCCAGCGCCCAAATATATATATTTTAAAATCCCAGGGTTATGACATAAGAGTTAACAACATGGTTTTAGTGGAAAAAAAGCTTTGTAGAAAAAGTGCTTTCCCAGTTGCATTATTCATAATTAAGCAACAGGCATCCACATACCAACCAGTTTACCCTTCAGGCCTTTATAACAGCCCCACAAATCTACCCTAGGTGAAACCACACAGCCAGGCTTTAGACTCGCCTAAGCTGGTCCAAAGTTTACTAAGAGCCGCCACGGTGCTGCTCCCATGGGGTGCTACTCCCATATGCTATATATAGACCACAACCGTCTTCAATCAAACACCCTTGTAGGAACAACACCCTCCCGGGAAGTGTAACCCAGAGTATAAACTTACAAGCCTGAGCTAGTTCAATAAAAGGCCTCTTATCCCATCCATCATCAGGTAAGGAGTATGGTGGATCAACTAACAACTCATTCAGAAGGCAAGCCGAGTTGCAGGTTTCACATCAGAATCTGCTTTGACACAAGCAGTAGACCGGCCACACTACAGCACAAGAGGCCTTCTGGATGCTTGGTCGCCAGCCTCTGGCTTATTCCTCAGGGAGCTGGCGGCAAGGGCCCCGCCTGCATGGAGTGAGGTGCACAGGCATCACTACCTGCAGGACTGGGAAGCGCGCTATGCACAGCCAGGAACCACCAGCAGGTCCCTGGAAGAAAGTCCTCCACCTCCCGCAAAGCATTCTATTCGTTTATTTAGAGGAAGGACCCAAGCACAGCCTGGTGCTTCCAGACACAGAAGAAAGCGGCTACTGTCTGCCCTCAGACGTTGCTGAGGGGCCCTCCCTTGCCAGCTTGAATGGTCTACACTGCTAGTCCATGGGAGGGAGGGAAGCCTGCAGAAGGAGGCAGCCACACCAAGTACCCTGGGGTCCAGAGGCCAAGGGAAGGGGTACTGCAGGGGGCGGATGTCTGCCTCCCTTCTGTGCAGCTGCCTCAGGCCCACGCGTCTTTCCAGCTGTGCCTCCACTGTCCACTGCTTTCTCCTGAAAGCCACTTAAGTGCCCCTCCGGGAGTGCACAAGCAGGTCCCGCTGCAGCCCTGCCTCCAGGCCGGGGGCGAGTCTGGCTGAGGGAGGGTCGGTCAGCAGAGTCAGTTTGTTGAACACACCTCTGCCAAAGTAGTCAGCAATGACGGAGAAGCTGTCATTGGAGCACTTGAGCTGCGGAGGGGAAGAGGCGGGAGAAGGAAGAATTAGAGCAGATGTGAATGTTTCCTACATGAGGAGAAAAGGAAAAGAGCCCAGCAGGGCTCGGTGGTGCCGGGACACTGGGGAATCCCCCCTCCCCTGCTCCACAAATTCCCACCCACCTGGTGCTGGAACTGATCGTGGAGGTCTCGTTTCTGTTCCTGGGCCCGGATCATATCCATGACCTTCCGGTTCTCTGGGAGGCAGGTGGGGCAGTCAGCATCACTTTCAGAATAACTCTCGAAGCAATGCTGGTGGAAGGAGTGGCCGCACAGGAAGTGGACGGAGGGCAACTCCAAGGCACTGTTGCAGATGCTGCATTTGGTCTTCTGGAAAATCTTTGGACTGTGGGCAATGGAGACCAGATGTGAATGGCGAGCCACAGCCAGGGGCCAGAGAAGGTGGCTGGAGGACACTGGGAGGGACCCCTGTCCTGCTCTCACCACCTCCAGGAAGCCCCCAAAGGACAGCAGCCCAGGGTTTGGGGTGGCTCCCTGCATGCTCCTGGCAAGTCCAAGGATCCCAAAGGGGACAGTTTTCTCCATTTCCACAACTTCCAAGAGATTTTATTCCAGCTCTACACTTAGATGTGACCCTCTTGATGAGGCCATTCCCTGCCACCTTGTCTAAAATTCTAACACCAATCCTCCCTCCTCAAGCTCTCTTCAAAACTTACCACAACCCAATATATGACAACAGCTGGCCTACTAAGGGGTTTCTGTCTGTCTCACCCTCTACAAAATGATGGCTTACAAACAAGACTTGTGACTTGATCAAGGTACAGTACATATTTGTGGAATCAAGAAACTATTGTTCTCAGGCCCTGTGAAGTTGCCTAGTGGTCATATCCTTGCAAATGCCAGGAACCCATATGGGTGCCAGTTTGTGTCCCAGATGCTCCACTTCCCAACCAGATCCCTACTTATGGCCTGGGAAAACAGTAAAGGACAGCCCAAAGCCTAGGGACCCTAGACCTGGTACCAGACCAAAAAGAAGCTTCTGGGCTCCTGGCTTCAGAATGGCTCAGCTCCAGCTATTGCAGCCGCTTGGGGAGTGAACCAGCAGATGGAAGATCTTTCTCTCTGACTCTCCTCCTCTTCCTGCATATCTACCTTACAAATAAAAATCTTTTTTAAAAAACAACCTACTGGGCCCGGCGCGGTGGCGCAGTGGGTAAGGTCCTCGCCTTGCACGCCCAGGATCCCATATGGGTGCCGGTTCTATCCCGGCAGCCCCGCTTCCCTTCCAGCTCCCTGCCTGTGGCCCAGGAAAGCAGTCGAGGACGGCCCAAGGCTTTGGGACCCTGCACCTGCGTGGGAGACCCGGAAGAGGCTCCTGGCTTCGGATGGGCATAGCATCGGCCATTGCGCTCACTTGGGGAGTGAATCATCGGACGGAAGATCTTCCTCTCTGTCTCTCCTCCCTGTATATCTGCCTTTCCAATAAATAAATAATAAAAATAAATTAAAAAAATTAAAAACAATCTACTGTTCTCTGATAAATATTTTACAAAGTGAAGAGCACATGTTAAGAACCGGGTTTGGGGCCCGGCGCGGTGGCGCAAGTGGTTAAAGGTCCTCGCCTTGCACGCCCGGGATCCCATATGGGCGCCGGTTCTAATCCCGGCAGCCCCGCTCGCTCACTTGGGGAGTGAATCATCGGACGGAAGATCTTCCTCTCTGTCTCTCCTCTCTGTATATCCGCCTTTCCAGTAAAAAAATAATAAAAATAAATCTTTAAAAAAAAAAAAAAAGAACCGGGTTTGGGCCCGGCGGTATGGCCTAGTGGCTAAAGTCCTCTCCTTGAACGCCCGAGATCCCATATGGGCGCCGGTTCTAATCCTGGTAGCTCCACTTCCCATCCAGCTCCCTGCTTGTGGCCTGGGAAAGCAGTCGAGGACGGCCCAAGGTCTTGGGACCCTGTACCCACATGGGAGACCTGGAGGAGGTTCCTGGCTCCTGGCTTCAGATCGGCACAGCACTGGCCATTGCGGTCACTTGGGGAGTGAATCATCGGACAGAGGATCTTCCTCTCTGTAATCCTCCTCTCTCTTTATATATCTGACTTTCCAATAAAAAAAATAAAT